GGGGGAATCTGGCAAATTGGCACACTGGCACAACTGCACAGCAATCCCTTTTGGTTAGCTACCATCTTGCAACACTTCTATCATCAAGAATCTGCGGTACTTGGGCGAAGCCAATACATAGTGCATGGAGAGACCGTTCCTAGGGCACAGCGGTTGAGTGCAAAGACAGGAGAGAAAGAAGAAGACGCAAATATGTGTGCGCACGGACATCTATACTGGCGCCTCAGGCGTTAAATCGCGTATGATTCCGGATATACTTCGGCGTCTAATATGTCTATAGAATCATAATACCTTATATTAATCTACAGCCAGAAGTGGCATGAGGGGCAATTACGTCGTTCACAATGAACCAGAGAGACGCCAATTGTCTGACTCATCGGACACCAGGTGTTGGGGGGATTCTACTTCTTCCCTAGCTCAAGCATCACAGATCTATTCCTAATGCAATGGTTGTCATGGGCATCCGAATCACTACGTCAAAGCTCAAGGAGTTCCTACATGGCATTAGATAGCTGTTAGTTCATGGGCTTGCTAGTTATGGATCAACACAGGCGCTAGACAATAAACTTAAGCTACCCTGGGCATGAAAAGATGGGTGCAAGCATTGAAGTCGGCAGCTAACAGTGTGCCTTTCGGAACGGTTTCAGCAAAGATGGGTTGCTATAAAAGCCGTAGCCAACGTTGGCTACCTAGGTAGGTAGGTACATACATACCTATCATCCATAACCAGGTTTCACACAGCACAAGCACGCAATAATTGGCGGAGAGTTATTTGCCGCCCTCCCGGGTATTCATACTTGTGTTAAGAAAAAAGAAAAGTGTTATCTCAATTGCAACCTCTTCGCGTCAAAAATGAAAGACCTTTTGGTAGTTTGTAGTGGAAACAAGGGATGTACATACACGCGCGAACCAGCGCTAAATAAGCCCGCAAGCTGTATTTCTCATTCTGAATAATCTAGAAAAACATAATGCCCGCCGTCGCACCTCTCAAGGCGACCTGTGGCAGCGCGCGCTAGCTTGATGATATGAACGCCGGAGCATTTAGTTCGTCCAGGAGCAGTAGAAAGCGACAATGAAGTAATGGGGGGGTGAAAAAAAAGGGGGTATGCTGCATCTTCGACAAAGGAAATAAAAAACGTAAGACACCTCGGCCGAAATTTTGGTAGGCAACTCCTCCTCGCGCAGTATGCCAAACGTTCCTCCTCCCTCCGAAATACAGTTATGTGAGACAGTACGCAAAGGATCAACTCATCTCCTGCCGCCAACATCCCGATGTTTAAGCCTGCTAGTCCTCCATCCCTCGTACCAAAGCTCCCTACTTGCCTCCCTCAACTCCCCCCGCCACTCACTAAACACTGCGTCCTTCAGTCGCAGGAAATCGCAATGCTCTGCGTTCATAGGATCTGCAAAACCCCAAGGGAATTTGCGGCCGATGACACCGGGCTCGTAAATATCGGGACTAATGATTGACAGGGGGAAGTATGGGATTTCTCCAGAATCGGGGGATTCGGCGTGTCGGCGCACTGAGCCGGTGGATTGGCGTTTTGAGTCGGGGGAGGAGGAACTCGCAGGTTCGGGTTCGGGTTGCTTATCCTCGACGTCCGAGGGGGTGGAATCTTCGTCTTCATTGCCTTCGTCGATGCGATTGGAATTGGTCTGACTATCTGCTTCGAAGTCGTCCAGTCCCAGGGCCTCTAAGGGGTCGAGATTCGCCTTGCGGAGACTATCCCAGACAGTCTTCTTGAGGAACGCCATGTGGGTAGTAGTGATCGTGTCGGCTTTGGAAATCACCGGCACCACAGTCGTCTTGCCCTGCAATGTGCGCAGAACCTGCAGATCTAGGCCTTCGTCGAGACCTCCAGCGGCTGCGTATTTACCGTTGGTGCCGTTCCCATTCGATGAAATCTCCCTCGCAGCAGCGATATTGCGGTCGAGGCGTGTGGGATCAAGGATGAGGAACGCACAATGGATATGTGTGTCTTGGACGCCTGGGGCTCGCACAACCTTCATCTCCTCGGTGAAGGTCTCTTCGAACTTGCTCTCAAGGAACGAGGACATCTCCCGCAGTTGAAGGTCAACGACATTCTTCTCCAGGCCCTCCGAGTCCCACAGTGTCAGGCCAATCCGCTCACCATCGATCTCGGTCTCTAAATATTGAGAGCTGAAGGTCCCGGACTCCGAGGCTTGGGGCGCGAATACGTCATCGTCGTGAGGTCGGGTGCCTCTCTTCTTTGGCGGCAGGGCGAGCGAGGTCTTGAGGAAGTTAAGGAAGGACGTCTTGCCGGATGAGCGGGCTCCGATAATGAGGATACTAGAACAGGTCAGCGAGCCTACTTCCAAGTTTAGGGGGCTCAAATATCAGGGGAGTATGCGTACTTGAACGGCGTCGGGTCTTTCCGTCTCCTAACCCTCCGCGGGCTGTTGATGGTGCTCACAGCACTGCTGGCATAGCTGTATCGGCCACGATGGGTCATGCTCTCCGTGCGAGCATATGGATCTACCCAATCGCCATTGCGACCTCCACCTGACGGAATCGGGGGGATAGGCACATTGCTGGAATAGCCGCGGCCTGGCTCCATGGATGCGCGGCCTTGGTTTGCGCCCACGTTCCCAGATATGATAGCAACGGAATCAGGACGGTCGTCGCCGCCGCCGAAGGATTGAATCGGGGCAGGATTATAGATATCCGGGAGGCGCGGTGGGCTCTTGGGGACCGCCGCCGCCTCTCGTTGCCGCTGAAGCTCTGCCTCTCGCGCTGCGAGCGCCTGTTGCTTCTTGCTCCCCTTAAACTCGCCCGATTTGGTCCGACGTAAGAGGAGTCCGAGACTGGAACGACGGGCAGGGTGTGCTTTTCCGGTTTCTGGGATGGGGGGCACCTTGGTCGTTGGCGATGGCGATGCACTGGCGCTTGGAGTGCGCGGTCGTTGCGAGGCCGACACCATGGCGTGTTTGTGTTGCGAGGTACTTCGTATCTAGGTTGCTTATTGGACGTCGCACAATGCTCGACGAGGAAGAAGCTCTGGATCGAATTTGCGACGCGAAGCTGGTCGTGGTTTGATGTCGAGCAACGCGGGTGGCCACAGGCGTGTTTTCGTTTTCGTTTTCGTCAGGCAGTTTCCAATCTCAATCTAGAGGAATGGGTGTCGCTGCGATGCACTGGGTGGCCCGACTGTTGAAACTCTGGGGTAAAAGAACGTGAAGGTGAATCGTACGGTTCTGGGAGAATAACGAGCAGTTATAAATAAGGTGCTCGTTGTCAAGGTGCAGCGCGAGATTGATTGCTCGCGGGCAGTATGCTAGAAACGGCGTAGATCGGGATGGGATCGAACGGAGGATGCTAGCTATTCAGCTGGAGTTGAGAAACAGAATTGACGTCGGCTCCTCAGGAGATCAAGGGAAGATCGGCCTGTTGGGAGTCGAAGGAGAAGTCGAAGGTGAAGGCGCGAGAGAATATGCCACGGGGTAGTCACCAGGAGCCGGAAGAGAACAGCGCGGGCTATGCCGTAGGTCGCTATGCGATGATGGCGATAGCTATGCCAGGAAGTGAATGACGAAGGTGAGAGTCCTCAGGACGCGGTATGAAAGGGGGGGAGAGTTGAAAGAATTGTATAGCATAGATCATAGGATAGCATAGGATTAGGATTAGGATTAGGATGGGACAGGATACTGTAGGACGCGCGCGAACACAGCCAGCAGTGAATAATAATCTTTACCGCGTAAGAGTGCTTTCGTACCTAGTACAGCTAGTAGTAGTGCTGCCCTTGTGCTGGGCCAGCGCAATGCAACGCTCAGCTCCTCCGCCCAGCCAGCTTAAATCTAGCTGCACGTCTTCAGGGGCTGCAGCGAGTCGCCAGTCTCCTGTCACCAGTCTCCTGTCCCTCCTGTCTCCTGTCTCCTGTCCCCAGATGTCTTCTCTCCTCCACTCTCCTTCCACTCTCCACTCTCCACCCTCCACCCTCCACGGAGTCCACTCTCCTGAGTCTCCTCCACTCTGCTAATCTAACACATTCGCCATCCCCCTTCCAGTCCTTCTGCCCTTCTAGACGCATTGCGCAGCCAATCGCCAGCCTGCACCGGGGGGTGGCATCGGACATTTCCTCGTTTCAGTTTCTGCCCGTGGTACGAGGGGCTAGTGGTCTAGCACGTACTGTAGTACTACAGTGCTGCGTGTGCTTGTACGCCGTAGCATATCTTTATATACCTTGCATATCTTTGCAGCTCTCGGTTCCGCATACCAGCTAGTTGATTTATATTATCATTATTACATATCAACTACGAAGTACAGTACATGTACATGTACTGTACGTAGTACCTTATGTCCTCGGTACCAACCACAACCATCCTTCCCATTGCCTATTGGCCAGCCCGCCGACGGGTGGAGCCTTTTTCCGCCCTCCCGCCCGCCCGCGCTTGTGTGGGGAAAACCGGTAGCCAAAAGCAATTAATAGGCAACTTAAAACCATTTGACATGCAGCCATTGGAAACGTTGGCATATCTTCAATCTAGACCCGATTACCGACCGATTATAGAGGGTGTACAAAGTATAACGTTGAGACTTATGGCTCCAAATCAAGGATCTCGTCTAGTGGCTTGGTTATATCCATAGAATTTACCGCCTCTGAAACGGAAAGGGAATTGGGGCATAGTCATGTAGCAGAGGAGGACGATCTGCAATGCCTTAATTGGAGCTATGTCCAGTCCTCAAAGGGACTATTTAGGTACCTTATGTGTCTATCTGTACATAGATATTGGCCATGGGACCACATCACACCACATCAACCCACCCATTCATTGGCATAATTCCACGACATGCCACTCTCATCTTCACCATGTACCCCATACGCACGCATGCTTACTTCGTATAACCCATCCCACCCATCCTCAAAAGACACCACGCCTAACACCCTGATGGTGACCCCATCCATCCCAAAGGCAAGCAAGACCGGCTACGCGAGCAAAGAACATAAGGTATGAGGCATACCATCTTTGTTGGCGATAGCCACAGCCCACCCATGAGTGTGGTAAGCGGTTAATCTCATCCATTTGTTCACAACCAACAAAGATGTGTGTGGGTGTTTTGCTTCCTCAAGTTCCCACATATGTACAATACCACCTATAAAGAAAGCACTTTAGAAAGAAAGAAAAACGGCCTTCCAGTGTTAGGAAGAGAATGCACCATGCGGAGGTGGTGCCTCGGGTAGGAGCAGGAGCGGGGGTGATCCGGAACGCCTGACTGCGAGGCTAACCGTCACTATAAAATCTATATCGACAAAGGAAGAAGTACAAGGAGATCCCGGAGAGTGTATTTTCGGATGCTGGTTATCAAGCACATTGAGCGTGCTGCTGCCGCCGGCCCGGCGGTAGGCAAGAAAGTAAAGGCGTGTTTTGATAGAATGATAGAAAGTCCTTTTGGTGTCCAGTCTGCAGCGGATGTGTGCAAAATAAAAGGATGGCTAATTCTCGTCCGATTGCGTGATACCTGCTGCTTGGCAGGACGCCTGTCTTAGAATTGGCCAGGCGCTCTCCCTCTACCGCCTTGTCCGCCACGGCCACCTGGTAACATAAAGTCGGGATTCGAAGCCAGAAGAAGATCTTGTTGTTGCTGGGGAGGATTTACAGGACGGCGGTTTGGCATAGGGGGCGCGTTGCCCGCTCCTGGGTTCCACCTTGGATTAATCCCCCTTTCGGATATGGAGGTGAAGTTTGACCGGTCGGACTCTGCAGGGCTCCGGGAACCTGATTGTACGTCCTCATATGAGTAGTTCGCATCCGGATTACTGATCGGCTGCAGATTGCCTCGCGAGTTGCCGTTGGGGGGGTAGCCTGGAGCCAGAGCCGCAGGAACCAACGATGATGGTCCTGGCTGGTCAGAGAAACGGGGTTCAACGTCTTCATAGTAGTTATCCGCACTTTCCCGCCGTTGGGCGACGGCATTTGAATTCTGAGTCTCAGCGGCTTGAGGTGTCGAATTCAAGGGAGAAGATCTGCCTGCTGCTCCGGCGCCCCATGCCTGGCGCGGTGGCACATAACTACAAAGGTCAGTATGCAGAACCTTCACGTGATGGAAACAACTCACTCCTCTGTGCTATATCTGCTACTCTCACTTACGACTGTCTCTCGCTGCATCTTCTGTCGTTGAAGCCCAACCATTCCTGCAACATCCCCGTCACTCTCGCGTATTGGGTCAAATTGCCCATATCCTTGAGGTGCGTGAGAAGGACTGCCTGTTGTGGCATCCATTTCTACTGCTTGTCCAACAGGTCCATCAGTAAAGCCTGGAAGCGGAGGAGGCGATTCTGCACGGGGAAGACTACCCCTATTATCTTCCGGGTTATACGCAGCATAATCCCCGGTTGGAGGTGGAACAGAGTAGACATTTCCGCCATATCCTGCGCCTTGGGTGGGGGCTGGTCCCCTGTTGTAGTTGCCGGGTGACGGCCCCCTATCGTAGCCACGTCCATCCTGGGGCGGGCCGTATCCTGGTGGGGGTCCGCCTCTCCCACCTCTTGGAGGTCCTCCATAACCCCCCCGGGGCGGCCCATAAGCACCTCGCGGGGCCCCATAACCGCCTCGCTGCGAGCCATAACCACCTCGTCCATTTGGAGGATAGCCCCCTCTACCTCTATAGCCTGCTGGAGGCATTCCTCTACCGCGCATAGCAGGATCTGAATATTGGCGATTTAAAGAAGGATCTCGACTCCGACCTCCCTGTGCTCCTAAAGGCATTGCGTTTCCATATTGGTCTCTTGGTGGTCGGGGCGGCGGAGTCCTAGTCATGACTGGGGAACCATACCTGTCGTTCATCCCAATTCCAGGAGCACCAGGCATATTTGTAGGCGAGGGGCCCTCGGTCGGAGATCTCGTCGTTAAAGGCACCCGCTCGTCGCTGGATCGGTCAGGGTCCTTTTTGGCCGTCTCGAATGTAGCAAAAGTAGGGAGCTTGTCCACCCCAGGACCGCCGTTTACCAGGGTGGCATCTCCTGTATTGGGCGTGAGTGGATTGGGGCGGCCTTCACGGTTGTAGAAGTTTTCTCCGTTCATCTCTGCGTTCTCTGCAATGCGGCGCTTCCGAGCTTTTCGGTTGACCAAGGTCCGGCGCATTGCGCATGAAACAATCCCGCTTGCTGCGATGAGAACTGTGGCCGCTAAGACGAGGTATGATCCCCAGGCCATGTGAGGGACAAACAGCAGAACATCTATCAAGAATGAGAGGAGGGCCAGAATCAAAGTTAGGATGCTCAGAATGAAGAGGCCGAGGAGATAACGGGGGGAGTGCGAGGGCGAGTGGAAATGGGCCGAGGCGGCGAGGATGAGCATGATGAGGGTGAAGAGTGCGGCGATAGGGTGGACAATCAAGATTGCGGAGAGAGTCGTCCTTGTGGAGGTCGCCAGATCGAAAGAGGAGGAGGATTTGGAGTCGCCGTACACAGTTGCTATAATCATCATTAGCATATTCAGCATTAGATGCGCGTGCAGAGGCCATGGCTATGAGAGGATGCATATCATCTGAATACAAAGGACAGAGACATGTGTGCTTCTCGGTCGTATCTGCAGATATCCACGTACCGAAATTGTATCCAATCTCTATCTTGCTGCACGGTTCGCCATCTTTGCAGAATCCAAACACGCCAAACGACACGCCATCGAAGGAGGCCAGTGGGATCTGCTTGATGACGGGCGTGGAGAGCACTGAGAGCAACAGAAGAACGAAGGCTGCGGAGAGCAGGACCGTCAGAGGAGTGGCCGGTCGCAACATGGCGAGATGGCCAATGACAATACGGCCGTCTCGAAATGATCGTGATCGCGAGGGGCGCCCGCGTCCTCAAGACGAGGGGCTTTTCCAGCCTCGATGGTTGCGCGAGGGTCGAATGGCGATATGCGCAGAGATCGACGAGGTCGGAGGGTCGTCCGTCCTTCCTATGCTGAACGTGAAGGCGAAAGTGACGACTGCATAGGGCGAGAGGACTGCTGCATTGATTGTCGCATTGGTCCGCAAGCACAAGGACAAACACAAGGACAATCGCAATGGCCAGGACAATGACAATCGCGCGGTGATGTCGTGTGTTTGTTATCGCAGCCAAGAGGGCGGAGGTGGAGGTGGAGGCTGGAGGTTGGCAGCACGCGCGGGCGGGATCTTGGACGACTGGCGATGTGGAGGCGGAGGTGGAGGTGGAGGTAGCGGTGGATATGTGGGTAGAGCGAGGAAGTAGTTGTAGCAAAGAGAGTAGAGTACTTCGTAGAGTAGCTAGAGGAGAGTGGATGTGGAACTGGTGGAGCTGGTGGTAGATTGCGATGCACGATAATACACGAGTTGGATCATGGGTGTCGTCGTCCTTGTGGCGGAGGCGAGACTCGAGGGAGAGTCGAGACTCGGATAAGGTATCTCGATCCACGAACGAAGTATGATATGATACTCTTACTACGCCACCAGGCAGCCCCCGTCTTCCTACATACTGTACTAATAAGCTTATAATTATTAACTATTGATAGCTGTAGCAGTGGTTGGTACACAATAATAAAGTATATGTACTCACACCCTACCTAGGTACTCTGTGCATTAGTTTCTCTTGTCCAAGGTACCTAGTCTATGTAGTACTGTGCAAAAGTAATTACACGCAGTGCGCGGCGTAGATAGGTAGATACGGACGTGAGCCAGCTTGAGGTTAGGGTCCTCCGAGATTTAACCCACTAATAATACACGATGCACTTCGTAAGCAACTAATAAATAAAGAAGTTGGTCCCCTCCAACTCAATGGTACTAATCGGTTCATACTGTACTTCGCATGTACTGTTCATGTACGTATTTACGACGTACCTGTGCCTCTGTTGCGCATTCCTCCAACATTATTTTCGTCAGTCGCTGACCCGCTGCTCATTTCCATAAAATATGATAGCACGAGGGCACGTACTACGTACCCCCGAGTATTGTTGCTATTGTACGCAGTACTCGAGTAGATTGATGAATGGCATTATCCAACGTGATACCAAGTTGTTCCAGGGTGCTTGTATAAAGTATTTATACTCCCAGGTTGACATTCCCTGCGACGTGCAAATCCAGGAACAATTGCTTCCCACTCCCAGGGAGAAGAGGAATCCATTATGCGAATATCTAGGAAAGCCCATCCTATTTTTAGCCGTCTGTTTTAATGATTCCCCGTTTCCGTTTCAACGTGTGACACGGTCCGAAATTGCTGACTGGTATGCTTTCCTTGGTATCATAAAGGTAGGAGTAGGGTACGAAGTACGAAGAACGAACTAAAGAGGACAGCCACCTTGTTAAATCTTTCGGTTCTTCGCCCTCGCAGCATCGGGCTTGGAATGCGAGGTGGATTGAGGCTACTGCTCTCGTGGTAATTATATAGTTGTATGAAGCAGCTCGAATCACTCAACAAGATTTGAAAGGGAAATGGTTAATTCAAGTTCTTTCCTACTAGCCCCCGGAGTCTCTTCTCAACGGCCCGTCAAGATCGATTAACATGTCAAAACTTCTTTGTCAGTAGGAATACTGTAAGAGTAATAATAATAACAATAAAGGGGAGTCGGCGCCGGCGGACATAAGGATTGGTGAAGACGCCAAGACTCGGCATTTGCTATTCGCCGATATATCATGATTGCGACGAAGTACTTGTACAGTACATGAAAGTAAATAAATATATACCTTACCTTCGCATCTCCTTCATGGATATCCAGCATCTTGCCAACTCTCTGCAAAGCAATGTTACTGCGCATTGCCGGGCCATGCTCGCCCGGCCTCGGTGCACACTGTAGACACCAATCGAGACGTTTGTTCTCGTCTTTACCGTCCCAACCATCCTCATCCAAATTGAAATCCGTCCCGCGCCCGTCGATATCGCTACGCAAGACCACCCCATTCCGCCCCGAACGTGGCATACAGATACGCACCGAGAGATTCTCCCCCTTTACGCCCCCATCCCCCGAAACCTTAGGGAAAGCTGCGCCCGCGAGAGAGTATCGCCGGACTATAAAATGGGGTCGAAGACTGCTGTATACTTTGGCCGTGACGGCGGTTTTATACGGTGTTGATACGCAAATCTACGCATCCTCGATAACCCGGTCGCTACGGACTTTCGGCCTAGGCATAATCGTTGCAATAGACTATAAGCTCAATTTCAGGCCAACCCCTCTGTTGGGTGGCACGATCGAGGACCTTCATCGACGGAGTGCCGAACGGCTCTCCGACCTACTGCATCAGAATGGCGGGCTATACCTGAAGATCGGCCAAGCAATCGCTATGCAGAGCGCAATTCTGCCACCGGAGTTCCAGACTATGTTCTCGAGGATGTTTGACGATGCGCCGCAGAATGACTGGGCTGATGTTGAGAAGGTCATACGGGAGGATTTTGGTGCAAGTCCGGAGGAAGTTTTTGGGGTTTCCTTCACTGGCGAACCTGGATATGGGTCCATGGAGAAGAAGGCCAGAGCCTCGGCTTCTGTCGCCCAGGTCCATTGGGCTAGGCTAGCTGATGGGAGGGAGGTTGCCATAAAGGTCCAGAAACGAGAGATCGCCCAGCAGGTGGGCTGGGACCTCTGGGCTTTCCGGTAAGTAGACATCGTTATACCCTTCATCCAAGAGCAATGCTAACGAAGTTTTAGTCTGGTGATGAAAGTCTATACGAGATGGTTCGACCTCCCTCTATACAGCCTAATTCCATACATCACGGACCGCCTAATGTTGGAAACCGACTTCGTCAATGAAGCCAATAACTCTGAGAAGATGGCCGAACTTGTTCACGGGGAACCCCGGCTCCGCGGTCGAGTTTATATCCCCAAGGTCTACCGTGAACTCTCCTCCAAAAGGGTCATGACCGCAGAATGGATCGAAGGTATCCGTCTCTGGGATAAAGAAGCACTCAGTGCTCCCTGGCGAGGCGGGTATCGCGAAGGGTCTCCTGGTGTGAATGGAATGCCTCTTTCGTCGACCCAGATACCTCCCAATAATGGAACTGGCTCCCTCAAGCCAGAGCGCAACGAATGGAAAGGCCGGAGCGGCAAGGGTGGCTTAGGGCTCTCGCTCAAAGAAGTCATGACTACCATGGTTGACCTGTTCTCCGCCCAAATGTTCCTCTGGGGTCTCGTACATTGCGATCCCCATCCAGGCAATATATTCATCCGGCGGAAGCCAAATGGACATGCCGAACTCGTCCTCATCGATCATGGGCTGTACGTCGCAATGGCGCCGAAATTCAGACATGAATACTGCCGGTTCTGGAAGGCCTTGATGACCTTCGATAACACAGCCTTGAGCGAAATCACCAACGCGTGGGGCATCAAAGCTCCAGATCTGTTCGCAAGTGCAACACTAATGCGCCCATATGAAGGAGGCGACAGCAGTACCAGGAACAGGATTACCAAGGACCTCAAAGGCAAGACACCGGCCGAGCGTCACTACGAAATGCAAGACCGCATGCGTCAAGGTGTCCGTGAGATACTCTCAGAAGAAGAGAATTTTCCCCGCGAACTCCTGTTCATCGGCCGCAATATGCGCATCGTCCAAGGCAACAACCAATTCCTCGGCTCACCGGTCAACAGAATCAAATTGACGGGCTATTGGGCAAGCAGAAGTCTCGTTGACAGTAAAGATCTGAGTATCCGCGAGAGATTCGCGAATGGGTTTAGACATCTAATGTTCCGCGTTGTGCTGCTCACCAGCGATATTGTCTTTTATACGAGCAAGGTGAGGCAATGGCTAGGTTTTGGGCTAGGGATGGAGGATGATATGGAGAGGCAGATGAGATTTATCGCGAAGGATCAGTTTGGTTTTGATCTGCAGCATGACGTTTTCGAGGGCTAGATTTCCATTTGTTGCGATATACCTACTCTGTATAATTGTACAATAGGTTTCAGTCAAGCGGCATATCTAGATGGGGTGTGGCGCGCGGTGCATTTGATGGCGCTGGAAGGCTTATAAATCCACCTCATTCTTACGAAGTATAACCCTTCTGATTTCTCTAGTGTGCTTGATCTACTACGTATACTTGTGGGGTTCCTCATCAGCGCACGGTTATCCGTCTGATCCAATCGTGGCCGGTTCACGGGACTTTGGAGGCAACTGATCGCCACCCTTCGATGGTTACCAAAATACTACAATTTCCATCACCGAACCCTAACCTCATCAATATCTGTTTTGTTTAGGATTGAACCTTCTAGTCCATATAAAAGAATATCTGGCTAATGTAAAAGTAATAAAGCGTGATCCTACACCAAAACTTGAGCCAAGACTTCTTTCGCTTCCTCTGGGTCCCAATCTACTAAGATACGTCCCGCTTTATATTCTTTCATTTTTCTCTCCACAAAGGGATCCATAGCCTGCCTTTCCTCGTCAGTTAAGAGATCTAGCCTCGTCTGCCACCAAATATATTCAGGGATGTCCCCCCTATCCCCGAAGAACCTCTCATCCAAGACCTTCCAGTAAATAGAGTCAAAGGCCCAACTTTTCCTAGCTGCATAGTTGAGCCAGAACCGCCCGGTTTGCCAGCTCTCTCGCATAGACGTAGATAACCTGACTAGCTCGCGCCTACCGGAGCCTACCCCTTCATCCTCTAACGCCATCTGCTCGCTTCTCCGCACCATCTCCTCGGTTCCACCTGATGGTTTCGCCCTCTCCGCCTCCTCCTCTTCGGCCATCTCTACACAACGTAACCAGGTTTCTAGGCGCTGGTCGTAAATCTTGCTCCACTCTTGTATCCCTCCTGGCCAGCACTCGGGTTCCTCCAGCAGTAACCACCATGGTGGGTCGAGGGCGAACTGCGCCGGGCCCACGTATGCAAACTCCCAGTCGATAAGGGCTGCTACTCGTAAGTCCTTATCCACCAGGATATTACCGCCACGGAGATCGTCGCACCAGAGATGGAATGGGCCCCGTGTGTCTGGGGCCGAGGAAAGTCCTGGGCCTCGATTTGTACTGGAATCAGGATTGGATGAGAAGCGTGAAGACTGTGCCGACCAGTCATCATCCGCAAAGCCAAAAGTCGAAAGCTTCCCCTCCTTCGCTAGTCTCCGGAAGAGCTGGCGCGCCACGTACTTATTCCTGCAGTCGTAATCTGAATATGTGAGATCATTATGTTGAAAGACGAGATGTGCCATTTGCATTTCCGCTAACGCAAGGTACCATTCATCGGCTGTGATATAGGTTTTTCCTTTCGCCGGGAGCACGATAGGCGGGACATTTGCGAGTTGGATGAGTGAGTTCATATTTAAGGAAATAGGACGTCCCTCCACAGAGGGGAGGCCGTGGCCGTTACTGCTAGGTAATAAAGAACCGATGCGGGGAAACTTTAGTTTCGAGAGCTGCAAGAGATAACCAGCCATTTGGCCGTAGAGGAATTCGAGCTTCTCTTCAGGAACGTTGGGATCTAAGGCTGGTGGTCCATCTTTGCCTAGATGTTCAGGATCGTCTAACGCCTGAGAAAATGCCCCGTCGTTCTCGACATAGCCCATGATAATGAATGGCCCAATACCAGTGGGATTCTCAATTGACAATCCGTAATAATATACAGGAGGGGTCGGAATGGAAGTCTTCTCACTGACGTAAAGCATGGTTGCTGTTTCCATAAGTGTCTTTTCGTCTGGAAACTGGACGACGCCGGGGAAAGGGATTCTCAGAATTATTTCCTCGCCACGACCTTCAGCTCCGCGGTCCTCGACGGTAAATTTGTAGATAACGTTGTAGGATCCCTTGATCAATCGGCGCCTTAGATTACTACGATTGCCAAGGTACCTCTCCATAAGGGAACTCAACTCGCGACAAGTTGAAATTCTCCGAAAGCTCTTCTCCGTCTCTTCCAAGGCCACGTCGCTCCTTTCATATGCGACATCGTCGAAGAACTGTTTGTCACACTTCATAACGAGTGCCTGTAGGGCCGACGGGCGGCGAGACTGAGTTGACGTCAGAATTGACGTTGTCGAGGTTGACGCCGAAGCGAGCCCGTGAATGTTGAATGTCGATTTATCATACCTATGTCGGGCTCCTAGACTGCCGACCAGGTTCTTGTCTGAAGTACACCAGGTATGCTGTTTCAAAGGTATTCCTGATGCCAGAGAGCACGGCAAAGTAGCTCGGCGCGCACACTGTGGAGACGTAGAGTACCTACCTGCCTACCTACAGCATCATACATACCTAGGTACCTTAGGTACTCTATGATGCTCGCTCAGAATCCCAGTGATACCGCACCACAACATGTATTCAAACATACCTAGGTACAGTACGTGAAAGGCCCACAACACAACACACATCTGGAAATGATTGCGAAGGTCGGTGTCTCACCAGAAGGCCATCAAGGTTGAGAGCAATGCGACAGCAGAAGCACTGGTGGCTCTGGGTTTCTGGTACATGTACAGTACTCGAGTACGTACGAAGTTCGTAGTTCCGAGACAACCGTTGCTTGCCTCTCGAGGTGGGGCAGTCCTCCAGCCTAATACCACACTAAAACACTACTCCGTACGTTCAAAATACATTGTTCAACGGGGACTCTCTTTCCGTGCTACAGTACATACGCTCCTCTTTCGTGCCATTATTCGAGTACGGACCTTGATAGAACTCGCCTCTAGTAGAGGTAGTCAGGGCGTTTACCTCGCAGAGTAGTCCGGTAGCGAGCGGCCAGTGCTTTCCTTCAGCTTTCCCCCTGGATGATCGTCACGCCTCTGCCACCTCTGGAAAATTACACGGCCTGGTACCCTACCTATGTCAAACAGGACAAGTAGCGGTTGACAGCGGCCGCTGTGCTCCACGGCCTCATGGGTTGCGTCTGGGGGTGGCATGGTGTTTGGGATAGATGGATACGGTTATTCTCGAGGGCCTCCTCCGCCTCAAGTCCTCCAGTTCTCTCCCTCCAGTGTCCATTTTTCTATTGCCCACATAAGTCCTGCGTTTATTGTCTCTGCCTTCTTTTTCGATGATATCCTCTTGGTAATGCGTCAGTGAATATTGGTTATTCGCTACCTTCTACCTTCCAGGGTTGACCTCGATTCCTCATTAAGATTGCTGTGTCATTTTCTATGCCCGCCATTACCGCCGCCGGTGTTTGCAGCATAAAATATATAGAATGGGATACGAATCAAAAACAGCGTGGAGCGTCGTCGAAGGGAATACCTCACCATTTCTCGACTGGATGCCGGCGGTGTCCTCAACGTCGGCAGCGGGGAAGAAGCTCCTACAACGAACCATGTTTGGATTGGTTCCAAGCTTTATACAACGCAGAATCCGACCGCTTGCTACAAACCAACAGAGACTACATCGGACGTCATATCTCGATGGACTGCGAGGGGTAGCGTCGTTCGTAGTGTTTATGGGTCATTATACAGAGGAGAACTTGGGCTGGTACACAGAAGCATACGGACTACATGAAGACGGCGCTACATCATCGCCACTCCAGCTACCCATCATTCGAGTCTTATATTCAGCACGGCCTATGGTACATATTTTCTTCATCATATCTGGTTATGTATTGGCCTATAAACCTCTCATGCAGACTCATTCTCAGCAATACTCAGCACTCGCTCACACGCTCTCGTCGTCAATATTTCGACGTGCCCTTCGGCTTTTCCTGCCTTCACTCATCACTTTGTTTTTCATGGCTGTGGCCGTATACTCTGGGCTTTCGGACGCCAGATATGCACCGCAATTTCCTCGCCTTTCTTCGCAGTTACAACACTGGTGGTTGTCATGTTGGGATCTCAGCGTGGTCGTGTGGTTAAATGGTATAGAGCCCTTTATTCCGGCATATAATCCTGCGCTATGGACAATTCCGGTGGAATTCACCCAATCCTTACTCCTCTTCGCCGTTCTCCTCGGCCTGTCCCGGTGTATTGTTAATGTTCGGCTCCTCCTACTTGCGGGGATCGTTGCATTTTGTTTCTACAGCGGCCAACTATATTCGGTCGAATTCCTGGGCGGGATGTTCATCGCCGAAATTTCTCTCCTTAACGACCGCTCACCTTCGCCAACTTCAAGCCCGACACTCCCAAAATACTCGCTCTACGACGAAAATGAGAAACCGAAATGCGGGAAATCCATCAAGAAGACAGCGATGCAAGCATTCTGCGTCGCCAGCCTGGTATGCGGGCTCTTTATTGCTTCCTGGACGAACAACTACCCCGAAGAGGTCTGGGGAATACAATTTCTAAATGCACACCCGCCTAAACCTTACGAAGGCCAGCGGGTATGGTTCTGCTTAGGTGCCTTCCAGATTGTGCTGGCCTGTACACAGCTCCAATATTTGAAGGATATCTTCAACACCCCCATCGCTCAGTACTTGGGAAATATATCCTATGCCTTATATCTCACCCACAATCTGTGTCTCAGGGCACTTGAACCCCGAGTTGCTCCACGTATAGAACGATGGTTCGGTAAGACTACATCGACGGGGAGGCACTTGAACTGGGTATTTGGGCTGGTGATATACCTCCCCATTATCATTTGGGTGGCAGATGTATTCTGGAGAGTGGTGGATACCCCGAGTGTGAAATTCGCAAAATGGCTAGAGAGTAAATGCATTGCTGAGGTCGAGAAGATGCCGTGATCTATTATCTATATCACATTTCATTTTGTCATGGAGCTTTGGGGGAGTTACAATCAGGGAGTTTGGGGGGGGGGGGTTATAATATGGGGACTTTAGAGGAATTATATATATTGGGATTTTGAACCTGACAGGCATCGAAATTGCTTAAGAAAACGAACAGCCTGCAAAATTTGAAGTGTATCTAGCATCTAGGAATTATATAAGTAGAAAAACGGCTAGAAATTCCTAATATCTATTTTATGCCCTGGATGGGGATCTGCGCGGAATTTCTTTCTCTAGGTTGTGCAACTTCCCAACACCTTGTACAGTACTATCAAAATTGTCATTTTCCGCAACCGGCGGGTTCTACTCTGTATTGCAGGGTAAATTAGCTCGGGCCTCCTGCAACAAAAGCTTGATTCAATATCCATGTCTCGATCTTCCTATGCTTCAACCCTTGTCCAGCATGCCCCCTTAGCCAATTGGAAACCCCCGTCGAACGTTCACGAACTTTTTACCTCACCGCCGCAATTATTGAACAACCTCGCCGTTACAGTTTCAAGGCATTCTTCCGCTCCTTTTCGAACTTACTAGGAAAATTGCCAACGCCTTATCCCCCCCTTCTACGCACTCCTATTCCCATTCTTTATTTCCGCTGGGGAAGCACTACTATGCCGATCATGCTAATGCTACCGCTGCCGCCTACGAGGACAATAACACAATGCTCATCTTGAGAAGTTTTAGCCTTTGAGATTTAGGAAATTGGATTTCTAGGTAGTGAATTGCGAGCGCCGTTGCCTTGAACTTGAAGCCTAACTCAAGCGCAGAGACGGTGGTATTACACTGACATTCCTGCTGATATCACTAGATCCACACTATGCAAAAGATCGAATTCTTTTAATTGAATCTGAAGTGTAACTATTTAAAACAACTGATAAAGGTACGTAAGTATCGAAGCGGAGGAGATTGATAGGGAGACCAGAGCTACAAGTCTTCCATTCCATATGTCCTTGCGGGCGCTGGGTTGCGTGTAGGCATAGAGTATGGAATTGACCAGCGGCGAGTTTACCAGGAGCTGAAAACATCGCACGGATGATCTGCTCGCCATTGATTCGCAGCCTCCTGCATACAGTTCACATACTGATTGTGGCCGAGAGTTCCTTGACCAGCGCTGAAGTCGACACGCCAACTTCCGCCATCCACTCCACTGTCGAACCCGCACTGGAGGTTGGAAACTGCCGAGAAACAATGGGCAGTACCTTCTACAACGTCCACTTGTCAGTACCGTTATCGTTGAACTATACTGAATTGCAAGGGAAGAGGCTTCCTACTATAGAAGGAGTCGCAAAAGGTCTGAGGCTCAACTCCAACGGTTGAGAACTTGACTCGATATCTCGTCAACGCCTTTTCAGTCCACTGATCACGCCATTTGGCAGTAAGTGAGCATTTAGCTCTCTCCTCCATTTCTACACAGCATTAGTACAAGCGAAGCGTCATCAAGGAAGAGAGAAGTCTGTACCGTTTGGAATGGCAACGGCAGACGCCAAAGCCAGGAGAGGAAGGCCGAAAAGCATTGAGATCTTCATATTGTTGGGTTGGTTTGTGTAGAGTGCGTTCAAGGAAGGAATAGAAGAGAATTCTACGAATGCAAATATATCGAAAGTAGAAGTTTGTGGGTGTGTATAAGTCTGTGTGCAGAAGTGGATGGAATGGAAGATACCTTTAGGCTGGGGAGACAGATCTTTATAGACGGGAGATCATAGTATTGACAGTCAGTTGGTGGACCTGCAGTATCCTCGTACACTTCTGATCTAAATCCATTGAGATTATAGCGGGTAACGAGGCTCCCTCCAGAATCCTCCCTGGGTCCTTGTTCTTGCTTAATGTACTATAGCTAATCAAATGCAATTCCTCGTAACTTAGCTGTCTGGCTGTGTTCTTATGTAAAGCCTTGTAAAATGCAGTTCGAAAGAGGATTTCTACTTGTTCTTGATTTTAATACACGATTACGTATATTTCCCTGTTAGTTTGTTGCCTGACTATATTCTTAGAATCTTATATAAATCCTTCAAGATTGTAGATCGTAAAGAAGCTTTCTCTTCGTTCTTGATTTAATCCACTATCGCCAATCACATAAAACTCCTCGTAAGTTTGTCGTCTGGCTATATTCTCTTCTAAATCCTTTAAGATTGTTGTTCGTAAAGAAGCTTTCTCCTTGTTCTTGATTTTTAATACGCTATGGCCAATCACATAAAACTCCTCGTAAGTTTGTCGTCTGGCTATATTCTCTTCTAAATCCTTTAGATTGTTGTTCGTAAAGAAGCTTTCTCCTTGTTCTTGATTTTTAATACGCTATGGCTAATCACATGCAATTCCTCGTAAGTTGGCTATCGGGTCGGTTGGACTATATTCTTGTCTAAATCCTTTGGGATTATAGTTTGTAAAGAGGTTTACAGGCTTCCTGCATGTTCTTGATTTTAATGCACTATAGCCGATGATCGATCACGTACAAGAGAATAGATTGGTTTTGTCCTCGTCTTTATTCGATACCAGATACTTAGCGCCAAGTCCATTCTTCTAAGTGGTTACTCCGTGTAGGGCCTGGGGAAGCTGAGCTACATTAATCCCGGTCCAAACAAGAACAACCTTAAAATAACAAGCCTAAATCAAGAAACAGTTAATTGACCAGTACTATTCTTATATATTTAGGGAAGAGTGTGAGAGATATACACATAATACATTGCATGATGGATGGCGAGGTGATGAAAGTTCATGGGACATCAAAACACTCAAGATATCAAGACGCAAGTGTCCGAACTTAGATAGCTGAAACTTGGGGATGACCTTCTCGAAAGGGTGGTCTAACTCTGTGGGCCCCGTATTATTTTCTACTTATTCCCTGTCATCAATTAGCAACTTGAAGGAACGTATAATAAATAAACGTCCCAGCGTTAGTCAGTGTATTCCAATTTTTTAAGTTACTGCATAATACAACAACTTCTAAGGCTAATTAAGGTGGACATGTTGAGCTATCTATAATAGGGGGGTGATCTGCATGGTGGCGATGTATGCTCGAGGCTCGCCCCCTTTCTACGCAAGCCAGCGATTGGGCTATGGAGTTATATTATATAGCGGCCATAGCGCTGATTACTATTTGACCCTTCTAAACGAGTCGGTGCAATGTGGGAGTATGATTTATTTGCAGTGTAGAAAAGCTTAGGAAAAGGAGTTCAGCTGCGTCAGAACCGAACAGAGAAGAGCCACCTTCCACTATATGACTGCTGATTTGGTGTTCTTGGAGAGGTGTTGTAAGAATTATTTTAACCCATGTAGCTCCTCATGTATTCTTTCTCTTTTCCTTCTGTCACTTGGGCATGAGAGAGTTAATTTCCACATGGTTGTAATCCTTTGTTCTATGGCCCCCCTCTTACAAGGTATATTTATTGAAGAAATCTATAATAATAGGAGTAGCATCAAAATACGTCCCATTAGGATTATCAGAATTCGGGAGCGTACTCGGCCATGCATGACCAAGACCCTGAGTAAGGTAATGTGTCACGACCCCCAGATTTCCCTTACCACCGCCATACTCGTATTTTTGGACCTTCCCGTGATGCAAATCTGTCGTCTTATTACTCGCCCCGTACCCATCCCTCTTACTCCATTCCCTCACCCAATGCGGTATACTGGGCAAACAGTCCCCATCTTGATATCCGCCGTCATACGAAATCACCTTGTCAGCACTGCCGTGGAATTCGATAATTGGGATTGGACTGCGGCTAATATTGCACGGGATAGGGATTGTTGCCGGCGAGCAATCGTCTGGTGAGGATATTGGAATGTAGAATGCACCGGATACAGGGGCAATCGCGGCGATCTGCTTTGATAGTGTGGGTGAGCAAGCTAGAGTGGACGTGAAGCCGCCGCCGTTGGATTTGCCAGCTGCATATATACGGGTGGTGTCAATGCAGTAGCGGCTGCTGAAGTAGTCAATCCTATGATGGGATGTTAGCCTTCTGTTTCATTTAACAAAGCCTGAAGGAAGGGATTTGGCCGTCTTACATGTCCTGAACGAAGCCAATATCGTTGACGCCAGGTTTGGCGTACGGAGCGCCCTGCCACGCATCCTGCGGTTCCACATCCAATTAGAAAATATCTCTTATTTATTCCCTTTTAGATCCTTCAACATAAAGTATTCACCTTTAATCCCTGAGGATACACAGCAATAGCATTAGGGTTAAAGCTCTCGTTCGAGAACTGGCTCAAGTCTTCCTGGTGCTTGGCCGTATCTCCATGGCCATGAAAGGAGAATATGAGGGGAACGGGCGTATCCTTGGTGTAATTAGACGGGATATGAATCCTGTAAATTCGGGCAGTCCCATCGGTCTGATTGAAATCAGTCTTGTGGCTTGGGCCTCCAGGGGGTTGTTGAGAGGGTGGTAGGTCTTTGCCACAGCCCACACTGCTTGCTCCGTAGGATGTCATGAAGAGCGCACTCGCGATGGCGAGGAAAGATGCTATCTTGGAATAGACCATAATGTTGTATCTTGATACCCTGACTACGAAAAATAGGTAGATGGGTAGATGGGGGAGTGTATACCGACGTTAAACGTCACTGGATAGGTAGGTATGCATCGATTCCTAAATCTATGGATGACATTTCTACTTGGCTACATTCTACATACTTATAAGTTAATCTACATCGGCGATAAGGGGTTTATTCGCGGAAACAAAATGGTCCTTTGTACTTCGTCCCACCTTCTCAGTCGATGCGGGTAAGCGCTGACTGTGTTTCAGGCTGGATTCTGCAGAGATCTTCAGGTTTTGGTCGGAGGCCGAAGTATTTCGTATTCAATTATCTATGCACTGTACATAACGACGATCTTCCCGAGGGTGCATGAAGGGATGTCCCCGCATGTTTCGATGACGTGAGATATTCCTCAGATCTACGAATGAGACCTAATTATAGAGCATTTTGACATGGCGGTGCTTGACAACTTCAGCCCCAACTACGGAACGGAGTATTCAAAAAGTCAACGCCTTGCAAGGAGCACAGTAGTGAAGCAAATAACATCGGACAACCCTGTGAAGCCATCGACGAGCTCCAACAGCTTGAAAATGACGTGTAGTAGACCAACCAATGCCTCTTTACTAGCGAAACATGCCTTTTCTAGTGGTTTTATAAATAGAGATACCTTCACCGAAGTTGTAAAGTTGAAACTGAATCAACCTCTCTGGTGACGCTGTCACCCTCACAACTAAGTAAATGACATTGATCAATCGATGCTATATAACCTAGCCGCTCCCATTTAACTCCTAACAATACACCTGGCTCAAAATATGGACTACGGATAAAATATGTAAGGAGACCACAATTCCTTGCGTTAAGGGGCACTTCTTTGGGCTTTAGCCCTCTCCTCGCCAAGCACTTTTCCCTTCTTCTTCTCGACCGACTGCTTCAGCACCTTCAACTTCTCCTCCGTAACGCGAATAGCAGCATCCATCTCCCGCTCCTCCATTTCCTCGTGCTTGAGTTTCTCGTGCATGGTATTCGCTTCGATGGGCATCCTGGATGGATCCCGAAGACGGTCCATGCCCACTCTATCTTCTAGCCATTCCCAGAGCTCACTTTCTTCTCGCTTCCAGATTTCTTGATATGCTGCAACTCTTTCAGGCGTGCTAATGAAGCCCATACCTAAATCTCTGCTGCCTTCTCTGCCCGAGAATCCGAAGCGGAACCAGCTGGCAACCAGCAGGCCGACGAGTAGACCATACAATATATTGCCCGTGAGTAGGGGCTTGGCGATGTCCACAATGGGTCCTAGAATACCATGCAATGGCTCCAGTAGACCCCAATCTTCTGCCACTGGTTTCGCATCGATGGTACCATCAACTGATTTGCTAATATCTTTGAGTTCGCGTCCTCTGCGGCCCTTTTTCTTGCCCTTGCCAGAAACCAGGGCAGCAGCGGTACGGCGCGTGGATACCGCAGCCTTGAGCGCGGCAACAACGTCCTTCGCGTATTGGATTTGGCCATCATTGGCCCCCTTCTCGATTGGGCCTGCAGTATGTCAGTAAATGTCAGTAAATGCTCGTGTCAGTTGTCTCGCAAAACCTACTCTTCAACCAACTCTTGCCAGTCCATTCGATGGCACAACTCATCTGCAACCTCGTACCGTTGCCCTCACCCCACGACAGGCAGTATTTGGTTTTCGTGCTGAAAACATTACCGCTTGGAACATCCGGTGTTTGCGTCGAGATCGTAACTGAGATGGCCTTTTCGAGATCCATAGCATCCAAGGTTTCAGTGCACACGCATTTGGTCTGTTTAGGACCAATGGAGCCGCCCAAAGGTTTGATATATGAGTAATTCCGAACTTTGGTTTCGGGCCCAAGAGCCACCGCGGTTTTCTCATCCATAGTAAACTCGAGACACTTTTGCTCGTGGGTCAGCCAATTCTTCATCCATGTCACTGAAGCCTGGCCAAACATAAGATTATAGACTTTTCCAAGTGGAGCTGGAATAACCTCATCCGCAAGGATTTTGGGATAATGAGTATCTTGATCGGAACAAGTCGTAGGAGCATGTGTGGCTGGCCCGGGGAAATCCGCCAACGGGGTAGCCACGCCGTCGTCTTTTATCTTTTCTGTGACTGCCCCGTTTGTCACAACTGCCGCGGAGGGCTTTCTGCTGACGACCTTCTCCGCAATATCGCTACCAGCAACGCTGCCATCGGCTTGGGTAAAGCTCATCCCGTCCTCATCATCCTCATCCTCATCGTAAACCTCGTCGCCATCCTCACCCTCGGTATCGGATTCGGATCCGCTCTGGCTCCCAGTTGGTGCAGTACCATCAATCTTCTCAGTTTTGTCACCGCCACCAGTGCCTTCGATGCTGACACCATTCAAAGAGCTCCGCAGACTTGGGTGGCCAAGCTTCCAGATCCCGACGATCAGATCGTAAGTCGAGTCTCGACTGGTGAAACTAGCAAATATGTTCTTCGCATGTAAAGTAGAAATCATAAGCCCATTCTTGAAAACTAATGCCGTGCTCCGCTTCTCCACGGAAACTATTTCATCAAAGCTCATGACTAAAGTGGTGACCCATCCGAAGATGTTACTGCTGAAGCATAAGTGGCCTTCAGAGACGTATAGCCGCCCATGAGCAAGGATCTCCCGCTGTAGAGCGCAGCTATAATCTTCAATTAAGTAATCATCATCTGGAACGCTCTTGAAAAGGCTGTGAAAGTCGCGATTCCGCTTCTTACTTGCCACAGCAAAGCCAGTAATCTTTGGTTGCCCGGCCCTTGGATCACTGATAGAGCTATTAGCAGCTGCTATTGCAGCCCCAATAGTTGTACTTGTCGCTGCCGAGCTTCCTCTGTTTCTGCGGTTGCCTATCGCGCTTCGGATACTGCCACTACGTTGGATGCCGGATTTCCCCTCAAATAAGCTACCGTTGGGGGGAGTTTGTTCCCCGGCTCCCGATGATTCGTAATGGGTGCGGGAATGGACCAGAGGTTGGATGTCCTCTATGATTGGGGCCGATGTAGTCTCAGAACTGTCTACTGCCGACGGGGCCCACGTAGCGGCACGACTGCTAAAGTTAAATGGTTCCTCATTTGGTACTTCAGATCTGCACCGGTTTTCGTCCGTAGACTTTGACCCCACGGGACTATTTGTCCCATTGCTACTTTCCGAGATGCCTAGATGGCTTAAGCTGAGATCACCCATACCCAACGTCTTCACTGCCAGCTCCTTCTCCCCTGCTGGAGTGTCGATGTGTGTCTTGTCCGCCAGTGTTTCGACTTCAGGGCTTTCCACTATGTCTTTAAGTTCTTGTGTGCCGCTCCTGTTCCTGGTTCCGTTGGGAGCGCCGGGCGTGTTCGAGGTGTTCGCGATGGTATTACTCAATGTATTTGCGGCGTTCTGCGCCGCCGAAAATACCGTCGAGAAGAAACTTCCAGGACCTCCTGTACCTCCCGAGCCTGGCGTTGCCGCGGTGTGTTCGAGAGTCGGGGTGAGGGGCGTAGATGTTATATTCGACAGCTTGCTAGGACCGATAGTAGCAGATCCCGACCTCGCCCGCCGATGCGAGATCATGTTCCCCGACGGGGATGTGACCACATTGGGATTTGATGCCACAGGATCAGAACTTCCTCGATCCCGGCTCGAAGGGAACTGGGCAGTACTAGGTTCGGTGGGAGTTGGGGGCGTATTCACGATCAAGGGCGCTGTGGTGTCGAGGGACGGAGGGGTTTGCGGTCTATAACTGGTATCGATGGGTTGGATTTTGGCCGTCGCGGGACGATTTGGCATCGAACTCACTGGCGCAGCCTGCGAAGATTGTTTATCGAATATTCTCGATACCACACTCCCACGCCTACTGCTACCTGCGCTGTCTTTCTCCTTCTGTTGCGCCCCCACCCCGGTGCCTCCTGAATTACGCTCCGGGCTGCTGTGGGAGCTGGCTCCCTTCCGGGGCTTCAGGGCCTCTTTTAACCTGCCAACGGGCGATGGCGACCGCTTTTGTGATGTGTTTGTAGGTGCCTGGAGCGTGTCGGCGTTCAGTGATGACGTTGAGTCGGAGGCAGCCAGGTTGCTAATTTGCTCGGAGAATCTAGAAGGTCGCGGTGAGTGGTCAAGGTGGGTATCGGAATTTGAGAGTTCGGGCACTATCGAGGCTTGTACAAGGGGCGAGGATGTCGTGAGGTATCCTATATGGGATGGATGTGTCGATAACGGAGGCGGTGTTTCGAAGGGTCTGTAGACAAGAACCGTATTAGAACGAGCGAAATGCGCGAACAAATAGACGATGTTCGGTGACTGCAACCTGCACAGCCGACGATCAATGCACAGGAGATAAATAGAATAGATTGGGCAATATGTTCACAGAGTAGACACAGGAATTGGGGGTCGGATGCTGGGTGGTTTGGTAGCTTTGGTAGCTTTAGTAGCTCTGATAGGGGTCTGTAAGTTGGAAGCTCTGCGCTTGCGTGTTTCGGGGTCTTCGCTTCATTGCGCGGCTCAACCATTGTACAACAATTACCATAATTATGTATTATCGAACTGGCTGTACAAGTAAGGCAAAGGACCGGAGATGACACCGAGACCACCAGACCGAGTGGCTTCCAAACGGCCAGTTGTAATCAAAGGAACAGGGGGGCATGGGCAGAGGAGCTTAGTTATAGACTGGACTCACGATTCCGTATCTGAATCATATGTGATCAAGCTGCGTCCGTCCCCAGAGCCATTAGCAAGATTACGACTTGGAGTGTCGTTGCTCAGCGTTCCACGCTCTGCGACGCTTCTCCCCCGAGCTGCCTCCTCGCTCGCCCTGAGCTCCTCCTCTTGCTCCTGTTTCTTCCGCCGTCGTTTGGAGGCCAGGCCTTTGGGGACCAGCTTCTTGATCCCGTTCTGCTCGCCCTCTTCGTCGGATTCCGTTCGACCTGAGCTGCGGAAGCTGCTCTCTGTGCTCCGGAGCGAATCCGAGGCCGAGTCTCGACTGATCTTGTCCCAGCTGCGATGCTTGAATAGGTGGCCTAATCGCGACGATGAATCGGACGGATCAGACATATTGGATTGTAATTGCACTTGCAATTCGGGGACGGGCGCCGGCGGGGAAGCTACTCTAGTAATCGATCGATCGAATGGATTCGAGGAGACGGAGGAGATGCGATTATCATTCGTGAAGAGGGCGGCACATATCGAGAAGAACGTAGAACTGCAAACCTGAGCCAAGGATCCGCAGAAGTCGAGAGAAGCGTTGGTGTAGGTGTAAGTAAGTGTAAGTTCAAGTCCCTCCCGAATACGTAGTAGTGTAGCTCCTCGTACTTCGTACCGTACTCGATGCAGCGCCCGCCGTCTTGGCTTGTTTATTATGCCGAGCGGAAGACTTATTAACAGCAGCTGGCTGGCGACTGGGATAGAGCTGACGCGGGCACGTTCAGTGATGATATTGAACTATCAGTAGTCCCTACGGCGGAGTCTACAGTACTGGTACTCGTACTTCGTAGTATTTATTGAAGATAGCAAACTATCCGAGGTTCCCACACGTCATGGCACCCATCGCACCCATTGGCCGAGGCAGTGCAGTACTTGGTACTCGCTATCTGGTACTGCAATACGCGCGTACTAGGTACTGGGTACCCACCTTAAGGACCTGCTTTCCCGGTGGCATAGCGATGCCCTATCTCGAGTTGGTGGTTTTGGACTCACAGTCTCTTGAATTTATCTAATAATCAATCTCAAGCCCCATGAGTGGGACGCCGTATTACAACCACTTCCTACGCCCCTTACAGTCCCCCTTGGCTTTTGGGAGTAAGAGCCCCAATAGATCACCGGCTTCCATCGAACCTAGACTGTCCTATTCAATTCATCTTCAGATGGATCCAGGCAACAAGTTTCTGAATCAGATACTGGACTTATCGATCAACGTGCAATCAAATCAAATATACCCACGTAAACCCCATACCTCGAGTGTTTCTTCTAATGCAAGTACGAGAACGGGTATACCAGTGCTTGGGACTGACAGCCATCGACTCCACCATTCGTAGGAAGCAGTAAGGGACCGAAAAATCTTCCCATAGACCAAAGGAGATATGCCAACAAAAGATCCTCAACACAGTTCCATCCAGGAAGGGGCCATACAAGAAAGTTTTCATGTCACGCAGCGTAAAATTGGATAATCAATTCCCAGTCTTTCGTCCACACTCCTCCTCACGCGCTCTCCGCTGAAGTCCCGCGGTTTCTTCACCAGCTTACTGCCCTTCCTCCGCGGTACTGCAGGATCCGCTCCAGATCCATACCCATTCCCAAGTCCCTTTCCTACTTCATGCATATCTTCATCATCAAGAAAGGTATACGCCGTTTCGAGATCCTGTCGATTCGGTAACCGAGCAGAGCGCATCTCCTCTTTCAAGAGTGTCTCCTCGGAGGGTTCAAACGACATCATGGTCCTCAGAGCCCCTGGATCCGGGTCGCGGAACGTGGAAGGGTGGCCATTAAGAACAATGGCCTTCGGCTCCGGGTTCGGCGGCGGAGGTGCACCGTACGGTATATTCGCTTTATGCTCACCAGAATATACTGCCTTGTTATTCCCTACCTTCGCATTCCTGGGTTCGCTCTTCGACCGCTTATGCTGCTGCATAGCTTCTCTCGGGCTTAAGATTGTGCCTAGGATAGCTGCTGCTTTCGAGCTCATGTCGGGAGGTGCTGCCCGCTCATCCACCGCGCTGACTTGAAAGGGGCCGACGAAGACGGATTTACCCTCTCGCAGTTTAGAAAGCTTATCTCGCTCTTCTTTCTCTCGTTTCCCGAGTTCATCCCAGGCACGGCTTGCTTCTTCACGTGCCAGCTTGGCCTCTTGCATGAGGTCCTTAATAAGCTTCCCTGTTCCGAAAATTTCGGCTTGGACTTGGGCGTCAGGCTTTGCTGATCGGCGACTTGGATCTAAATCTTTAGCTGCTAGCGTCCGATGGTTACCCGGCGCGTCGATTGCAAAACTATCGAACTGTGGTGGGTCCTCCATTTTTGAGAATCTGCGGTTAGATTCAGACGAAGTCCCAGCCACCTGCTTTGGGTCATAGCTTGGCTTCTCTGCGGACAGAGTAGTGATTTTGATGAGAGTGGCTGATTCGAGCGCAGGCTCTGGGCTCTGGGTACCCCTTACCATCCCATTGGCTTGCTTTTCAGTGGGAATAGGAGATGGTGTGGAGTATGCTTTCGTGGATTTCCGTTGGGATTCTGGACGACTAACTGTTTCTTTTACACCAGCCAAGCGTTGAAAATCTTCTACCGACTCAGCAGCTAGCAGGTTCCTTGACTGCACATATCCAACAAAGCTCACAGCATGGTCATCTGGGAGCATATCCCATATCAGAAGCGGGATTGAGACAAGTAGCATGGTGGAATGGCTTTTGTAGATCCCTTCGACGACGGCATAGTTCGCCAGCCCAGGGACCTGCCGGATCCAGCGATACCAAGCCTCAAAATCCGAGGACTGGTGTTCTTCTAGAGCGACAGATATAAGCACATGTGGAATTTGCAAGTGGCCATTTTTGAGGGTCCTGAGAAGATTTGCGGGGTTGTAGATGTCGAATTTAGAGAAGACAGGGGAAGGGTTCGAGGGGGAGAGAACTACTCCAGGCCAGCTAAAATTGGCACTTGCACGGCCATTTACTATCCTCCTTGTAGCGAGTTCAATGCTTAAGGCTTTTGGGTCAATCGAATCGAGCAAGTAGATTGGGGTTTTGCGATCTCGGATATCTTGTAAGTCCGTCCATTCCCTCCTCGCCGGTTGTTCAGTCTTCATTGCGGCAAGAACTTCGCTGTGAAGCATGGCAGCGGTAAAAGATGGTCTGGTTACCCAATCTTCGAGTACGCTGATGAGGGCATTGGTGAATAAGTTTCTACCGGGGCCTCCAACCCACGGTTCCGATTCACAGGCGGCAATGGTTTCTATAACCCCGTGGCTTCCTCCTCTTGCTAGACCGCGTGTAGCACAACAGTCTAACAAGAACAAGACATCAGATCTACTCTCTTCGAAAAGGCTTTGGATAGCGGACCAGTTAACGGAGGGTGTGAAAGGGTCTTGCCCGCTAATATAATCAGCAGTGTTTGGCGTGCTAATCAAAAGCAGCAGCGCAAGTACTTCACAATAACAGGCTCTGAGGTGTGATATATTCCAGGTTACTGGATCGCGGTCATGTTCATACCTAGGTACATAGTGATATAAAATTGTTCCACTTACTACATCCAGGTTGATTGTCCAGAATTGCTGATCACAGAAGGGCCACCATAATACACAACCAGTAGATTGTCGCTGGTCCCGTAATCTTGTACAAATTGCAACGCCATGCTCATAAGTTTTAGATGGGAAGCCGTGGAAGGAATGTGCCATAGATGGGTATAGAAGCCATAGCACGCTTCCAGGATTGTTCGCATTCGATCGATTTCCGGCTGCACAGTCGAATTATCGTCACCCCATTGTATCAGCACTGCAATTACTTGCTTGTACCGTGACCGGCCACGATTGGGGAAGGCTCTTAGTGCTGCCTGAGAAGTCGCTAGTTAACTCATCATCCCTGATAAATGAGAAACAAAGCCTTGAGGTAGACACCCCAGTATGAAGACAATATGACCACATTGCAAAGTTGGAGCAGAGGAGGCAGCAAGAGCAGACTTCTTCTACCATGGCGTGGGTTGTGACATCGCTGTCTGGATAAATTCATAAAAATGAATGGGAAAATAAGAATAACTGGGTCTCACCTCTTCCACCCGCCTAGCAAAGGTTCCGAGCTCCTTCATATGATACTTGGCTCGACATGTGTCGTGAGTTGAAGTCGGAACCGAATATAACGGCGTCCTGTCTTGGGTCGCCTATTCAGAGACAATTAGAACCGGGGTTCCTTCTAGGGATCTATCTATATTTACCTCGTCGCTCTCGCCGCCAGAGCTCGCTGGCCCATACCCCCCTTTCCACAAAGTGTCCGATGGGTGTTTTGCCATCGCGTCACCACCAGACAGCGCCGACATACCCTCCTGTTGTATGTCCAGGTAGAAGGAGAGTTGATCTTCGCTTGGAAAGTATCCGAGGTAGTAATATGGCTCGGGGATTGCAGATGCATGCTGTGAAGATGCCAACGAGGGTTGACTTGCAGAGGCAGAATGCTCCGAACACCACCGCTCCTCAGCGTATCCCATTCGCACGCAAGGACGGAGACATCAAGAGAGAAGGGAAGACAAGCCAAATAACACCAACGTGGACGAGGGTGAGACGCGCGAAGGGTATTATAGTTAGGTACTTGGCATGAAGGAGCTCGCTATAGCTCGAGGCGGGGGAGAGCATAAAGAAGCGAAAAGCCGCATTGACGGAGCTCATGGGATGTATTGTGTCGAGAGCTGGATGACCTTTTCTGCAGCTCATATCCAAACGAACGGGTTGGATGGCGGTGGGGGGTTTCAGATGGCGAAGGATTGCCTCGCATGCGATCCCAGGGCACCAGCAGCCGCGCTGCTGGAACAGCGGAACGTGATAGTGTCCGTCACGGAGGCAGACTGCACATTTCGCGTTTGCAGGTACTCGTAACTGCTTCGCATGGCGGCGGCGGCGGAACACAAATAGACACAAATAGACACGGCCAGTTAACGGCTATTGTCCTATGATGTGGCGGCGGGTGATGGATGAAGATGGTGCCTTGGGGGTTATGCGGGTAATATCGAGCCAGCGTTAGGGAATAGGGAACGGAGGGAGGGACGAAAGCGGAGAAGAGAGAAAAGTAGAGGGATAAGAGGCACGAGGCAGGAGACAAGAGATAAAACACAGAGAAGACGCAAGGAAATGGAGAAAGAGAACGAAGGTACATGTAGTACAGTAGGTAATAGATAGTAGATCCCAGCAGTAGGTACTGTAGATAGCAGAAAGAAAGGGGGTAAAGGGGTAAAGGGGTAATAAGGAGGTAAAGGAGAAAGGAGTAAAGAGAAGCCGAGGCCGAGCAAGTAGTCGAACGAGGATAAGGCATCAAGGCATTAAGGGACCAGCGAGTTCAGGCACCAAGGCAACCTCTTATCCAGGGAGTCACTACATACACGCCCGTATATTCTATTATTTTAGCTGCCGCTGCCGCCGTCTCCGGCCCGGCGCGGGGCCCACGTCCGGCACACGTGATAGTGTCTGAACCGCGGAGCACGAAGTACCAAGTACCAAGCGCCTACCTACCTTACTCCTTACTTGCTGCTACTTCGTCCTTATCAGAAGCGTAGATGGCAATAAATAGGATGCCTAAGTAGGTAATAAGAAGCTCAGATATAACCCGGGACTTTCATCCGTATCCACCGTAGTGTCAGGCTGCTCGACTGTGGCTGTGATGGGGCCTAATCCTCGAGAACGGAGTAGTGCGAAGTACGTACCTTACTACAGCCTTACGACAGGCCTGGCTGGCTGTTGGCTACAGCGCTTACGACCCTGTGGCTCGTCTTCGAATCAACACTCAACACAACATCACCACTTTACTTTGGCCCCAACTCCATCCGCGGTCGAATCCAACCAGCCACCTGATCTGCCTTTATTCCAGACCCATTGCCAGTTTCTCTTCCTGCTTCTAGATGGCAGTGTTATTGCTACCTACAACTCCTGATCCTATCCTTACATAGCTTGGAGTTCCCCCACGGTGAACGTTCCAGCAGCGCACATGCCGCATTGTCCAACCAGCCCACCCCCCCGCCGATCGTTAAGCGCTGGAAACATCGAACTTGCGTCTTTTCGAAAACATGGCACATAAGGACCGCGATGGTGGTGGAGGAGGAGGAGCAGCAGCAGAAGTCGACGAGAGACCGAGCGAGCGACGCCATCGATCCAAAGCCGAAAAGGAGAAGGACCCCAACCGCAAGCACAAATCGTCCAAGAGCTCGAGACCGAAAGCCATCGACCCCAAGACCGGCGAACCGGTGAAGTCGCCCCACCGAAGCCGAAAGGATAAGGACAGGGATTACGGGAAGATATCAGAGCCATCGACGTCCATGGCAGATCTCGTTCCAGAGCTTGCCCGGACAGCGTCAGCACCAGGCGCAACTTCAAGGGCGAGCCTGCCGTATCCCAGTTTCAGCAAATCACATAGCAAGGAGGCTATATCGAGCAGGGAGAGTTTCAGGCTCCCAGTAAAGGCGAACCCAACTGTCTATACACCAGAGTCGACGGATTTGGGTTCGGAAGAGAAGTTGAGATCCAAGTCGGCCGAGCATTCCACGCCTTCTCGTGGAGCGACAGTACAGAAAGATGGAAGACCGCCCAGCCCCCCAGAGACAGAATTCTCGCAGGAGAGGAAGGCAACGCCATCTCGCTTGACAAAGCTGCAAGAGGAGGGAGACTCTACGCCGAGGCCCAGCTCACGCAGCTCTTGGTTTAGCAGACCGGCCAAGAAGGATAAGGACGATAGCTCGAAGGTATCCGCCAAATCGAAGGCGTCGAAGGCGAGCACGGCCATCAAGTCCCCGAGGGCGACAACTAGCGAGAGGAAGGTCGAGGCAGATGAGAAGGCAGATGAAGGCTATTCACAGGATGAAACCACCTCCAAAGCAGACTCCAACCTCACATCGGTTGCCCCAAAGCGAGTTGTACCCACAGCTTCTAACGAACGACCACCAGCCCTAAACACAGCTTCATCACCTAGTTCTACACAAGATTCCTCCCCCCAAACCCCTACACAGACTCCTCAGTTCGCTCCACCAGACCTTAAGTCAACGCCGTCACCATTCATCCACTTCCAACCCCCCGAAGCTGCCTCCAGCGATTACAATTCTCCACAGCCTCCGCCGCCACCACCTCCTCCTACGGTGCCTATTAGTATTCCTCAAGTTGATTATCTCATGCAAAATGGAGGATTGCTTCGACCTGCGCCTAAGAGTTTACTTTCAGCTACCCCTGCAATCAATCCGCAATATAATGGTCTGCGGTCATCCACCCCGATGCCCGTAGAGATCGAGAAAATCTTTGGACCTTTCTACAATACATTGGATCAGTATGAAACGGTGATTGCTAAGAATGGGTCACTCGCAGTGGCCACTGGATATAGATCTGTTGCTAGGCGGTTACTGGATCGATTAGAGAATGTTTTCAACAGAGATCTATCCCCTGAAGGTTGCTTCTGTGTCATTTGCGAGAATTCAGATCTAGACACATATGAAGGCTCCCGAGGGCTCGGATGGGGCGAGGTATTAGAGTGGGTCAGTGGCCGGCGCGAACTTCCCACCTGGCCAGCATTCGATTTCGCAACTCTTGGTGTGAAGGCCGGCGAGGATTTAGCAGATCTCGCGGGAAGCCAGCGAAATGGTGCTGAGGGTGCCAGACCTGGATCCCCGGTAAAGATAGATCCTGACGTTGCCGACGAGTATCGAGAACATTATCTTGCTCAATCGAAGAAGACTAAGCAGGTGGTCAATAGATGGCTTTCGAGCTGTCCACAAACAGCTGCAGCCCCGCCTCAAGAAGTCGATGACGAGACTCTTTCTTTTGCCATCTTAACGCATCTCGACCAGAACGACCGCCCTGTTTTCAATGCACTGATCACTGGTTCAAGCGTTATACAGCCTGCATCACGCGCGCCAACTCCATTGCGGAAACCACGGTCAAATTTTATGGTTAAGACAGTGCAGTCATTGCAAAGACTCTATAGGCTACCACTCCCTCCTCGCGATCCGGAAGCCGCCATCTACCTTCTGAAGAATCCCCACCTGCACAATCTGCTTGCTACAATGTCCAGTATCAATATCTCAGAATGGGAGATTTTAACATCAGGCCGATTTGACGGCTTCTTGTGGTCAGGGGCAGAACCGGACTCCACAAATCCCTCTCCTGCACCATCGCGTGGCCCAACACCGGCAAATGTTAACCGCGGACCTATGTCTCCCGCAACGCGCCAGGGACCAAACTCGAGAACCACCACGCCATTCTCACCCTTGCGAAACCAAACATTCTCCCCGTCAATGGGCAGCAGTGCATTCCCTTCTCGCGGCCCTACCCCCCTTCCACAACGCGCCCCTGTTTCCAACGACGAAGAAACCGAAATTGCCATCCTTGCAGAAATTGAGCGGGAGATCTACCTCGGCATGGAAGCTCTTGAAGACGCCTTCGAAGGTCTACACCGCAAAGCAGAATATGTACGACGAGCGCTCCGAGAGCGTGGTGCAGGTCTTTCTATGTCCCTCCAGTCTAGACGCACAAGCCATCCAGATATTATCGGTTCGGGTACCCCGGGTTTGGGTCTGGGATATGAGAGGCCCCCCTGGGGTGAAGCCAGCGAGATGACCAGCGAGAGCGATTGGGATCCCGGAGATGATATGATGAGCGAGCTTGCGCCAGATGATTCAGCGAGCAACATCAGCAGCTCGAGACATCGACGGCCGAAGAGGAGAAATGAGAGGCGAACGCCTGCACTAGTCGAGGAGGAAGATGAGAATTGATAAGACCGGTTTTATGGAACGATATCCTTATTCGCTCATGACAGAGCCCAACTACAGCTGTTGTTACTCTTGGTTTTGCATGGCCTTCCTGAGGGAATGCACGATATTTTACGACGAAATGAAGAATTATTGCCTAAACTTGATATCCATTAAAAAGCACCCCTAGGTACGGGGTGTTGTATTTGTTGCGCTTTTCGTTTTATCTCTCCGTTTTACGTTATGATGCCGGTTGAGCGAGCTGGGGAATGTACAGGCCGCGCTGGTTACGAAGTACGACATACGGTGGGGCAGCATTGAGCGCGGAGTTTTTCCATGGGATATCATGTTACGTCAGAGGAGCGCCGTTGACTCATTGAGGAGCATGCCATAGAGGGTTATTATATATGCACTTTTCCGCCCTACTTTGCTGATGCTTATGGTGATCTTAACCCTCCGCTTCTGTACAGCCTAGGAGGATTTTGGAATAAGCAGTTTCAATTTACATGCAAATTAATTCTCTCCTCAATCCCCTCCTGACATGAAATAATGTGATTCTCCGCGCTTCACTCTCTTATACATTCTCCTGCAACATAACTGTGTAAGAGTTCTATAATAAAACGGGCCTGGTCTGACCATTATTTATAAGAATGTCTACCACTATTAACCATGTACTTGCCACTCAACAGCTACCCCATTATACTAGGTGCTTACACTAACATGATTTTAGTGGGTTGATTATACTACATATAGCACGGGGTATATGTATATAGGTACGTCATGTTACAGTACTCTGGGATTGAATTATATATATACCGTACAATACTAGAGAATATTATAGGATTTTAGGGTCTAATTCATCAGTCGTAGTAAAGATATGTGCACCGTGAATGATAACACAAAGTCATGAAATTCCATCGACTAAGGACGCTAGATTCAAAATTTCACAACCTAACGTCTATTTATTATTATACTTTTGTCCAGTTCACTGCTCGTTCCTATCCCTTCCCATTTGGCCACTAGGTAAACTCCTGTACAAATGCATAAAATTGTAAACAAAGTCAACCAAAAACAGACTCCTTGTGATTTCCCGTGTCCATCCTATATATCAGGAGAATGTTGAACATAGAGTATAGTACACCAAGGTGGATGACAAAGCTGTTTTGTCTTGATAGTCTACTACGTCCACTGCCTACTATTATTACAATATTTTGTATCCCTTTCTGAACTTTCGAGAACGATAGGTTATGCGTACAGGGCTTCTAATCCGTAAATGAGGCCGAAGACAATGAAAGCTATTGCGCCTCCCAGGGTGACTACTCGGATTATCAGCGACAGCTCAGGGCGAAGCAAAATCGACATGGGAAACGGCACTGAAAAGGGAGTTGAACTTACCAACCCTCAAACTGACTTTACCAGCAATGGCCCTTCCTCCAATAACAGCCACGCCGGTACAAATCGCATGTCCGCTTACAGCACCACCCGTAACCCACCAGTAATCTGCCCCAGCAGCCATAGCAATGGTAGCAATTTGGCTACGATCGCCCCATTCTCCCAGAAATGTCATGACAAATGTTTGTACCCACGCTGGACTGAGGAGCAGACCGAAGAGATTACTTAACCCATTAAGCGCTGTTCTGAGATTTGACCCAGCGGGGGAAGGCGAGCGGTCGGGGCTTGAATCTGGACTTCCCGGTAGGGATGGGATACGGGACCCTGAGCGTGGCTTTCTCGAGCCTCCAAGACCCATCTCCAGGGTGTAGGGAGAGACGGAGGAGCGTCGACGGCTTTCTCGTCGTGCTAGGTGCTCCTTCTCCTCCAGCTCCATCTCAACTTCCTGCATCTCGGCGGCAACGCCCTCATTTGGGCTCATCGCCAACCCCTCTTTTAGCATCCGCGCTCCAAAGACGAGGAATAGTCCTGCGGCTAGGAAATGAGTGAATCGTTCAGGGATGAGGGTAGGCACCGCGTGACCTAGCACGGCAGAGAGAACGGTCATGATGAGGAGGGCACAAAAGGCCGCGGAGAAGACAACGAGTCGGTCATGTTTCATGGCCATGAGAGCGGCGATCAGGAAGGTTTTGTCGCCGATTTCAGAAACGAGAATCATAGTTAGGGATAAAAGGTATGAATGGAGGGGCTGGATGATGCTCTCATTGTCGTCTTCGGGCGCGGTATTCGGGAAGTTGGAAGGGGGTTTCGTTTTTGGCTTGGAGATGTCGAGATGGTCCTTGTCTGCGGAGGGGGGAATGGGGTGATGGGGGTCTTTCGGTCTGTCTGCTAGGTCCTCTGGTTTCTATATATGGGATTAGCTTCGGATTGTTTTAGGTGCAAATTTCATCCTGTCCCTACCTTAAGTCCACCGAGATTGTCGATGCCATCATCATGGGCATCGGCGTCCTTGGGTCTGCTCTTCTCGCTCTTCTCGCCCTTCTCCTTGTCTGGCCTCAACTTGGATGGCTCACTCGGCGGCAGCGGAGGTGCCGCCTTGGGCGAATCTGGTTTCTTCTCGAGCCTCTCTCCAGTCTGCCCTTCGTGCGCTTTCCGCGCCTTATCCTTCTCACTTACTCCGCCCTCTGTGCCAGTTGTCCCTTCTTTTGGCGGTGCCCTATGGGGGTCATCCATCACCCCATCGTTGACAGCGGGAATCTTCTGGCCGTCCGGGCCAAGAAACTTCTTTTGGTCTTCGTTTCCGGGTCCCAATAACAATTCCGACTCGCTATCCTTAACAGTCGCGGATCCTGGTGGTTTCTTGGGGGCTTTTTGGATAGTCTCCTCTATGCCAACCCAGGGGCCCGCGTGTGGCTTTCCATCCTTCCCATCGACCGGCGCATCCTTTGTCCCTATCTCGACCTTTGATTTCGTATTGATTTCGGGGATCGGGGTGGGTTTGGCGTCTGGGCCGAGCTTCGCATCTCGAGGCTGCGGAGGTTTTGTAAGGGTGGAGTCGATGTTCTCCTGAGCAGCGGCTGACAGTGCAGCTGCTAAGGAGGGAAGGAGAAGGAGGAGAAGAGGCGAGGGGCGCCGTCGGAACCTCATTGTCATATATATTTGGGGGCAAAGGCTGGAGATGGGAGGATCGTAAGGTTTAAGGGGGGGTTTAGTGGAGAGTCAGGAGAGAGAGCCGTCCAGGTCCGTGGTGTGCGTTGAAGCGGCGGGCGTACTGTAATTTTGAACTGAACTGAAGGCTACAAACCGAGATATAGTAGCAGTATGAATTACAAGAGAAGAAAAAGGACGGAGGATGGAGGATGGAGGATGGAGGATGAAAAATCAAGAATGAATGCAAATCTATGGATGCTATGCCCAAGGCCCAAAGCAGGGCTCGAGTGCGTCCTTCGTACCGCTATCCTCTCCCTGATCTCGCTACGGCGCTGGGCGCTGGGCGCCAGAAACTACTTTTGTCCTAAGTTCATGTATGGTACAACCTAGAAGTAGTCGTACTAGGCCCAGTACGGAGTACTCGTAATAAGGTAAACAGGCGGCCATCCGGGGACATGCACGTAAATAGTACATACTAGCAGTACGTACTTCGTAGTGCTAGGTGTCTTTATTATTAGGTAGTTCAGAATGCCAATGTACCTAGTACTTCGAAGGCATGTGCCGTTATGCATGGCTAAGGGGGGTTTATTCGATGTCTTGGTACCTAGGTATATATGTCATGATCCTCTAGGTATCTACCTTGTCTACCTAAGGTACCTAGGTACTCTACGTCTACATATGCACTCCGTACTAGGTATTATCTACCTTAAGTAATAGGTTCTAGTCTCTACTCTCTACCCTATAATCCATAGTCTATGGTCTTTATACATAGTACACTAGGTAAGGCACCTACTAGGCAAGTCTACCTAGCTACCTAGCTACCTACCTAGGTAGTTACCTAGGTACCTGAGTCGACCATGCTATGGTACCACGTGACCTGGAGTTCCTGTCGCGTTCTGTGTCTCTCTCCCTCTCTCGCGACTACTAATGTCCCGCCATATCAATAATAATAATGCCAATGACCCTTCAAGTTACCTTGTCAGGAAACGTGTCGAGGCAATATCAATATACCACAGCTACCTACCTACCTGTAGGTAATCACCACAATCGAAAAGAACCTGCGCACGCCGATTCCACTTCAGAATGTCTAGTCGATCTGCGCGATCGTCTACAGCGCGCCATCAGCCAACTTCTCCTCCCCAAGCACAACCGTCCTCCATTCGTCGCTTCAGCACTCCGCCTCAACCACGGCGTAAAACACGAAGCGCAAGTGTAGAGCTTAGTGGAAGTGATGCAGAATCAGAGTCCCGTACAAGGACGAGAAGTGCCATACGGAAGGCGGGCGTGGAAGTGGTAGATGGCAACTCCGGCGCTGGCTCGCGCACAGGTCGTCGAACAAGAAACGCCCGTCGGACGGCTGTCATTACAGGTCGGGGACCCGCGCAGTCGTGTTATCCCATAAGAATCCTCGCTGACCTGTTCCCCAGATTTATCAATTGTTGCCGAAGAAGAGAAAGAGTCCCAGCACGAGGAAGATATTACGGACGAACCCCCTCATCATCATAATCGAGTTGCTGGCGAATGGTCACCCTCCCAATCTCCTGGCGGCGTGTCCGAGATGTCAGGAACGACCGCCGCCCATACAACCCATTCCATGACCGAGTTAGCAACACTAGATCGCATGGAGTTGGTCGATTTCCTCCCCGACCTCCTGAGGAGCTCGTGCAGGATTCTCGACATGCTTGCCCCAGCGAACGCCACGGACGATCTGGTGAAGGCGATTGTGAAGGAATTAAAAGTTCTCGGGTCGAGACGCGCCAAAGGACTCAAATACGGCGAATCCATTTTCAAACCTCCCCGGGATAACTTCGGGAGTGATGATTATATCACAACGGGCCTTATATTGCGCAAGCTTCTTTGGAATCAAGATCCTGGGGAGGGGGGTTTTCGTCCTGATGCTGTTCTTCATGCAGCCAATCTTGCAACATTGACTAAAGAGTTTCTAGTTACCGAGAAAGAGAGTCAGAAGATGCCACACCTGCTCGCTGCTCTGGACATTTATTTTCCCGAGGTGTTTGTCACGAATTTTGATATTAATGTTGAATATGGAAACAGCAGGCTACTTGATGAGACATTTGCCATGGGCCTGGACATCCGAACTCATTACGCAATCTCAGAGCTACAACTCAGGGAGGAGCAGGAAGATTGGGATCCCGATGAGATCTTGGCAGCTACTTTCTACGACCCCTTACCTAACCGCGACCCAGAGGTATCATTCTATGAGCATGCTCGTAGCAATGGGAGGCTAAAAGATATCATGCGGCAAGGCCCGCCAAACTCGGATGGTCATGCCAAAGAGATACTTGCGAGGGTGGACACCCTTCGCTCTACATTCCGTCAGAACGAGGAGGCAGCTGAGCAGGGCGACTTAGTTGACTCTGAGCGGCTGGACGAGCTCTTCCCATGGCCCCTCTTCCTTTGCAATCTAGTCCTTTGGTGCAGGTCAAGGCTGGATGAAATTCTGGAGAGCATCAGAAACCAAGGAGGTGTGGAAAGTATTAAGAACCATATTATCGAATTGATGGACGTTGGTGATACACCAGTTAGTAAGATGTTTCCTAACCATGATGTTTTTAGCTGACCGCTAAGATGCTGGTTAACCACGAACCACCACGTCCAGTTACGGAGCCGCTTCGACGGCCACCTACGCCAGGTGTCATTCGTGCCGTTCCTGGTAAAAGGTATGCCCACGCACAATTTGGCTCTCCCCCCCACACTCCCTTCATAATGATAGTGCTAGACACCTCTCTTAAGTAATTAGAACCCTCATGTCACTAACATAAACAAGCCTATTCACCAAGAATAACGCGCGCCGTTTGCTAGATATCAAGCGACATCAATCCTCTTACAATGACCCTTCCTCTAGCGAGCCAGCTATCCCGGAATCATCCTCGTATCCATTCAACTCTCACCACGCTAGGCCGTCCAAGCAGCAGGACCTAGCGGCCTCGGTGGCCGCAACTCAACAGTCTGACGAATATCGACCTGTCGTAGACGAAGAAGATGAAGAGGGCATCCCTAGCACCGCACGGCCTGGCCTTTCCGCTTGGAACGCTTACAGCAGCGAACAAAACAAAGAGAACCGGCCCGTTTCTAATGGCAAAGTTTTGAAGAAACGAAGCCTCCTTGACCGCCAACCTGGTGCCCATAAGGTAGGTTGGGATGGCTACAGCCAAGAGGTTGCGGCGAACCGCAAACGTGGCTATCAATCACGCGAAGCGTCTGAGGGCAGCGATGTCAGCCAGGACGAAGGATTTCAAAATGATGAGAGAATTCCAAATCCTACCCTTAGAGAAAATTCTCATCCAGCCCGCCATCGCGCTCCCTCGCATGATGAGCGACCTCCTAAGCGCATACGTGCGGATAATCTAGAAGCTAGAGATGGTAGAGAAGCTGCGCGCAGAAATCGAGAACGATTAGAGAGGCGGTTACAAGCTAGCGCGAGGGCTCAGTCCGACGAGGAAGATGTTGAGGAGGATATCCCACGACCAACACCTGCAGAAATCAAGAGCGCTGCTCGAGCGAACAGGGCGCGACTAGGACAAGCAAGGGCGCGACTTGGACTAGCACGGGCCACGGCTTCCTCGACGCAGAAACGAACCCGTTGGTCAGAGGCAGACGAGACAGAGCTAATCAGCCTTATCGAAAAGCACGGTACTTCCTGGACCACCATCGAAAGGATCGCCAACTTGGAAGTGTACAGAGGCCAGGTCGCATTGAGGGACAAGGCTCGTAACATAAAAGTTGACTTTCTGAAGTGAGTTATTTCTATTCTCGCTATTATGTGAATGAGGCTGATTTCTGGCTAGGTCCGGGGCGGGTTTACCTGTTAATTTTGAAGGAGTCGCCTTAGGAAAGAAGGAGATCGAAAATGTTCGCACCGTTATACCAGATTATGATCCCGATGCGTATGAAGGCCCGTGAAATTTTATCTACACTTTGGTAGATTGTCGGCGCCGTGGCTTATGAACACTCATAATATCGATACCCATTTTAACAATTCTGGTGTTGAGGGCAGTGGATTCGGTATTCGGGGACCTAATTGGCTCTTTAGCGCGTAAAATATCCTACATCGTGCGGCCATGGTTGATATATACATTTCATTCCAACAGGTAACTGGCAACGGAGCTCCTGGCTCCCAAATGTGTATTTAGATTCAAGCTGCTTGTATCATGAGCCGCCACAGTTTCGGTCGATGGAATGACTAACAGAGTCCACCGACAACTATCCTAACTACAAACCGTTGAGCCCGTGCGACTCGAAATCCAGCCAGTAACCACGGCCGGTAGGCTTGAAGCTTAGGTTCGGCTCGTTGAACCGCTGCACTCCTATATCAGACTCTAGATGGCCTCATTAAAACCGGGTTGCGATTCTAGGTGTTGCCTGGAGGCTCAAGGTAGCCTGATGCCCCAAATCTAAAAGGTGCGAAGACATGGGTTATCTATTCTGCTAGAGAGCGGGGCTTATGAGCATTTAATATATACTGAACGAGGGGAAACGATATCCAGTTCAAAAAATGGGGCTCATTGCCTCCTTTGCCTTTCATTATTATATTCATCATGACTGGCTATACACCATCTTCCCCTCAAACCACGTTTGTATCACACGCGCATGCAGCAAATCCTCCGTCGCCCACTCCATATCCAGCACCGCAAAATCAGCCTTCAGCCCCTTTCTCAAGCTCCCTACCCGCTGTTCTGAAAAGCATGAATATGCAGCCCCAGTAGTGGCAGCAGAAAACGCACTACTTAGAGAAATGGCAAAGTTCTCGTTCACCTTCGTTTCCAGGCCAGGTTCCCTTGCTGATCGTCGGGTTGAGGCCACATAAATATTGGATAAGGGAGTAAAGGGAGCCGTGGGCGAGTCTGAACCCAAGGCGAGAGTTGCCCCTCCCGCGAGGAATTCTCTATATGCGAAAGCGCGGCTGCAACGGTGCTTTCCAATGAGGTTGGGCCAGGCGCGAAGTATAGCTGGGTCGGCATGTACAGGTTGGATGGACGCGGTTATGCCGAGTTGTCCGAGTCGTTTTGCATCTTCTAGTGAGGCTAACTCGAGATGTTCGACGCGATGTCTTCGTCCCCCCTTTCCCCTTTGACAGCAAGGTTCTAGTGCATCGATGGCTATTTTAATGGCCTGGTCACCGATGGCATGAAGGGCGCATTGCAAGCCGGCTGAATCTGCTCGTTGGACGACAGGAGACAGCATCTCAGCAGGCCATAGGGACTCAGCAGAGAGACCGTTGGCATAGGGCTCGCAAAGAGCGGCCGTACATGCATCCACGACTCCATCGCAGATGATCTTGATACCAGCGATTCGGAAATCTGGTGATGTACCCTCATTAAACTTCTGGTGTAGAGCAATTGCTTGATCAACTTGTGCCAAGTTCCTTTCTTTGTCGGTGGAAGGCTGGATAAGCCAATATGCTGCGATGCGGAATGGGATATCCTCCTTCGAGCGCAGAATTTGCAAGGCTTCCCATGCATTCTCATCCATCGCCATGTCGACTATTCCTGTATATCCCGCAGCGGTATAGGCATGGAAAGCACCTCTCAGCGCGCCAAGCTTTTCTTTCAGCGAAGCAACACGGGCAATATGAGGCCATACGAAAATTTGAGCCGCCGTCTCGCTCAGCAGTCCAGACGGTCGACCATGCTCATCCCTATGAACCTTCCCTCCAACGGGATCCGCTACCGAGTCGACCTCCAGCTCTTTCAAAGCAGCGGTATTACACCATGTCGAATGCAAATCCTTCGAGTCGATAAAGACAGGCCTCTCGTCCAGATCGTCCAGCATACTCGCCAGCGCCTGTCCATCTGTCATACTATGCATCCAACCCCGACATAGTATCCTGGGTGCCTGTAAATGAAGCCCAGCATACGACTTGATCGCCGCCCGGATGTCCTCTAGATTCTTGCACGCTTCTAGGCTGAGCTTCGTGAGGGCTTGGCCAAGCATGAGGAGGTGCATATGGCCATCAATGAATCCTGGCACCACGATTCGGTTTTGCAGGTCTACCACTGGGGATCCTTCTCCCCTGATGAGCTGCACCTCGACATCACTCTCGTGACCTATGTGTGATATTATGCCATCGTTTACTATGATGCAGTCTGCGAATACGGTCTCTTCAGCGGGTTCGCTCCGAGTGGGTGCTGTGAAGAAGCGGCCATTGCGGAAGAGTTGTGACATGTTTTCTGGTATGCCGGATTACCATTCCTAGGGTAATATGGCCTTGGGCAATAATCCCAGATCAAGGACTAGAATTGTTCAATGTCTTGCTATTCTCCGTGGTTCACTGGTTAACCTGTAAATTCTGGGTCCGTCTGTCTGGGAAAAGTTGACCAAATTGCGTGTTGTCGTAAAATTCGTAGGAATAGGTATGTCATTAAATAAACAACAGGCTCTAGAAGACGATTTGTTGACACAAGTTGGCACCTTTGAGAATTAAGTGAAGCACATAAGTTGATGAGACTCGGCCGTCAACCATCAAGCCGTCCCGTCGGAAACCCCACCATTGACTAGACAAGGTTAAACTTCGGCGGCATGACGAGGCCGAGGTTAAAGATTTATTATCTGTTGGATTGGATATGTTGACAACCAAGTTAATCACATAATTAATATATAAATTGACATGGTTGATTACTACCTAAAGGTAGGTAGGTAGTTGATTCTATACAAAGTTGTGATGTAGGTATAGTCAGGTGACAATCTACAAGTTGTATATAGGTAGTGAATCGCTAGGAAGGGTATTTATTCTCAATCGTGCTACTATGGGTAGTTAGATAAACCCCACGAGCGCCACGCTAGCTAAACCCGCCCATACGTGCGTCAATTTGAGCTCTATACACAACATCCTCTCCAAACTGAAGTCAACGTCTCGGTCGGCAAGGGGAGTCGCCCTATGGTTTGGCTCACATAACCATTATCCTCCCTGAGGGCAGTTCAACCCCTTGAGAGAACCATTATTTAAATGTGAGGTGATGTATTAGGAGTAATAAAACAAGAACGAGGAACTTACGTGTATTGGCTTCCTTATCGATGGTGGCTAGACTTGTTCATCTGGGCCATGTTCTGGGTCTCGGGGGTTAGTAGTGGTTGGGCAGTTGACGTAGCATGCTGATTCCAGGGCTCCTTGGAGGGCGTCGCCCTACCACTCCAAAGGAGCAATCTGCATGGGCGGCGTAGCAAGTTCTAATGACAAGATGTGGGTAGGCTGCGATATAATTCTATCTCCAAGAAAAGTAGAGTGCTCACGGGTTGGCAAAGCTCCAGATGAAGGACCATATCGACTTATCGCTGGACTTATCGCTGAACTGCCTAGCGGGGCTGTGGCCGTCATGTCGGTAGATTAACATCGCCCATACTTCGGAATAGACGTGTAATGAATGATACCGTGTGTTTGGACTTGAATCGAGCTATTATTCTCAATTCTGTTTGACTCCTTGACTGCTCGGCTGCTAGACAAGTCACCAGCAAGCTCACCGAGAGCCTCAACTCCGTTGATACCAGCAGTCTTGACACTCAAATCACGGCTCTTCAGATGGGCTTCTAGCGCAATATAGATATTGTGTTTTCAGCGCACTCGTATCTGTTCTAACTCTGGTTAATTCTGAAGGTTAACATATGGCATATTTCCCGAAGGTGCGCGGGAGCTTGTCGTCGTTCCATGAAATTCTTGTAAGGGATCAGCTGCTCAATACAGCCAAGGCATGGGATACTTCCGATGGACTGGAGCTGCGTAGTTGTTGTCGGCAGCATGATCAGCCTCCAAGACAGCCGTTCCAAGGTGCTGCTGAGGACGAGTTAATTGGGTGGCCTTGTCTCGTGATGCCGCTGTGGAAGTATTCTGTCTCCTGGCTACTGCCCAATAGACAATGTGATCCGTTGGACTCTGATTTGGCCGCAGTTGTGATTGATCATCAGCCACGGCTTGCTCGAAGTCTCGGGCGAATTCCGAGCGGGCGCTATAATTCGTCGACGGAGGCTAATTGATCCTTCGCTCTTCGTTCCACAGCCTCTTTCAAGGACGCCCTTGATCTTGTCATTTCCCCTCCGGATCACCAACAACTGTCCTGCTGGCCGCCACAGCTGGATCGCAACTGGGACTAGGGCTAGGACCGAGACTGAGACCGAGACTGAGACTGAGACTGAGACTGAGACGAGACCGCGACCAAAACCAAAGGCACTGCTGGCTGGTCTCCACGTGCACGAGCTGGCTCTGTATAAAATCAGATTTCATTCGCATACATTCACATATACAGTACATTATCCGCTCGGAGCACAGCCTTTCTTTACTACCTGCCCCGTTGCATCGGCGTATTTCTTCCTGGATATAGTATCGTTGTGCCGGCGCATTGCATGCATCCGGCGGCCGCCCGCCACCGGCATCCGCCTTTACCATTTGCTCCCTTGAGCTCCATTGAGCTGTGTACCCAGCCAGCCTGGCCACGACGATCGTCGGCGCCCTCTTATTCGCGCGCTGGATCTGGGTTCCTCTCGGAATCAAGATTGTTTCGGGGCGAGGCGTCCTGTGGAGTCGCTACACCCGCCTCGGGGCAATCCTACGTCCGCCGTACTGACAAGCTGCAACATATGAATGGGGAAGCTCGAAATGACGGCTGTTGATGAGAAGGGGACGAGGGAGGGGATGAGGGCGATCCACGACCTGGAGAAAGGGGAAGGGAAAGCGGTGCTGCCACCAGATGCAGTGCGCCACCGGAGAGTCCCAGGGTTGCCAGATTGCTATAAAGTCTGGGTCTTGGTCAGACAGACATTCATTGCCGCTCCCAATCCACGGATATATACCCACAGGAGCTGACCTGGGCATCCCATATAGATCATGATCTCCCTTTCGCTGCTGGTGCTCGCCGCTTGGCCTTTTGGCCTTGCGCTGGCGCGACCTGCGCCGCCGCTTTCCCCCCACCTCGTTGTAGCAGGCGTTCCCCAATATGTGCTTGACTATGGTATGTGGCAGATAGATGAGCGTCCCAAGGCTTCCATGCTAATGCTGACCTCGAATAATGCAGCTCCTCTGGTCTATATGGACACCAAAGAGGTGTATTTTCCTTCAGACCTTGGGGCGCAAGTTGCAAATACACACCCGGACATCAACCTCACGGAACTCCCCAACCCTCCATCTCCACTGGTACTCGAGAATCTAGATGCCCTGAATGCAGTTGGCAACGGCGGTAAAGACGTGTATCTGACGTCCAACATTGACGTCACAACGTCGCCGAGTTGGCTCGAGGGCGTGGCCCCAGACTCGACAGGGAAAACCAACCAAGCAACTTCCGCCGCGGTTATAACCACCGACCACGGCAGCGGCCTCGTCGATGCATTCTACATGTATTTTTACGCCTACAATCAAGGCAATACGGTACTAGGGCAGGAACTCGGCGACCACATCGGAGACTGGGAGCATAACATGGTGCGGTTCCAGGACGGCGTCCCGCAGACCGTCTGGTATTCTCAGCACAGCAACGGACAAGCATTTACCTACAAAGCCGTGGAAAAGTTGGGCATTCGTCCCGTCGCATACTCGGCGCGAGGCAGTCACGCCAACTACGCAATCACCGGAAAACACGACCATACTATCCCAGACGTGAATCTTCCTGATGGCCTCCTCGTCGATAACACATCTAAAGGGCTACTCTGGGACCCTACACTCTCTTCATTCTTCTACAATTTCCACCCGGCGGATTCTACGTTCGAAAGTATAAATGGGAGTCCGGTGCAAGCTATGAATTTCAAGGGGAAATGGGGAGACCAGCAATATGCCAAGGATGACAAGAGACAGCCGCCTCCTTTCTTTGGGTTTTATAAGTATGTTGGCGGGCCGACGGGTCCGTATGATAAGCAGCTGAATCGCAGCAAGGTCTGCCCCGATAATGGAATTTTGTGCATTGTTAGAGATAAACTAGGACCCTAGAAAGAGTTAGATTAGGCACAGGTATAGGGAGTTTTGGGTTGGGGTTGGAATTGGTGATTGGGGTGAATGGCGCTTGGTTAGTATGGTCACGGAACATTGGCAAAATCGCATCGATCCTTGGATTCGGATCACTCGGAGTCGTGGCTAGGCTCGACCTATCCTAGGCTGCGTTGGCTGAGGTGGAATAGTCTCTAACTATGAAAGCGGTATAGATAACAGTCGGGAAATAACAAATAATATATAATCATCATCCGTACTAATATGTCAATAAGCGGTCCGTGAAAACAACTGATAGACTTCGATGCAGTACTTCGTATGCCAGGAGTTGAATCTTCGTAATGAATTTTCAGTGAGGAAATTCCTTTTTGGCTTCAGGCGGAAAGGGTTTTGATGAACTAACTATAAAGTTGATGTAATTTTCCAATAGATCTGTATTGGGTACATTTGCAGCCTCGGACTGTACTCACCATCTCAACGCGCAGTGGAAATGTACGATACTAGGTCGCATGAGAACATGAACACCTAAGCAATTTCAAGTCGCTATAAATTCTCGAAATAGAAGAAGAATGCTTAGAAACATGTATAATTAAGCCTAGACAAAGAGCGCATGCTCTAGTCGCTGTCTAAAACTACGACCTCGGCCTCAGCCTCTCCCACGCTCTCCACGCTGAGCACATCACCAGCATTGACATTTGAGATAAAAGCTCCATCACCCTCCCCTAAAACGGCGTCCTCCCTTCCATCAATCCTAATCTTCGCACTTCCATTCTTAGTCATAGGAACGTGAATGTAGACATGTCTGTCTTGGGTCTGGCGAACAGCATCTGCTCCAACCGTCCACTTAAATCGCTTATCGACGCCGATGATACCTGCTGCCATGATTAAATCTGCATGGATGGGTATGGTGTCCTTTAATGTTGGCTCAGCGGCCTTTTCTTCTGCTGGCGATGCCCCAGGGCCTGCTTTCAGTGGCGAAAGGATGGGGAGGAACGCTGCGCGTTTGAGGTATTCGTCAAACGTCTTAGTGTGGTAGCGGGGCGTTAAGCCTTTGCCCCATGGCAAAGCCCATATTTGAAGGAAGTGGACTGGTTCATCCGACTCGTTCTGTTCGGAATGTGCAATACCTGCGAGGATCCTTAGTAGGTGCAGTTTCGAGGAGCTGAACAGGGATTGAGAACGTACCAGTTCCGCCAGTTGTAAATTGCACATCACCCCTCTTCATCCTATAAAAGTCGTCGCCTTGTTTGGCCTCGGAACCCCTCTTGATCATACTATCCCGGTGCGTCAACTCGCCGCTAAGGATGTAGCTGAAAATCTCGGCATCGCGATGTGGGTGAGTAGGAAAGCCATTGTCGCCACTAACCCGGTCCTCATTCAACACTCGGAGACTGCCAAAATTCTGGAACCGAGGGTCGTAGTATGAAGCGAAGCTAAAGGTGTGATATGTGTTCAGCCAGCCGTGATCTGCGTGTCCGCGTTCATTGGACCAGCGGGGTACGATCTTTGCGTGGGCGAGAGCTTTGGACATGGTTGCTTTGATAGTATTCGCAGTAGTCATAGATGATGATGAATCCGGGGAAGTTGGTTGGGATATTGTGGTTGTGGAAGTTGACTTCGTTGTTGCTATGCTATAACTTTTGCTTGTGAGGCTATTAAACAGCTCTTGAAGTGGGGTAGTGAAGTATACTGAGAGAGAAATGAAGAAAATGGAAGAAAGGGATATGAAGAGCTTCATATATAGAGTTGGCCTCGGCTTCGAGAAGGTAGGAGATTATTAGAGAAGGAAATAAGGACTACAAAGTAATTGAAAATGATTACTGTTTGCTTTTGAAGAATAACAACATCATGTTGACATCGCAGTGTTTTGATTGAGTGATTGTTATTCAGCATTGTCAGCCACTTTACTCAGCACTTGCGCCACACTGGCGAGGGTCTAGACTCTCCAATAGCGGGGTCCTCGTGAAAATGCTAACCCTGAATAGAATAAAGTCCACATCCAGAACTTTACTGTTTTAGCGATAGCGCTGCATGTTAGAAACCCCCCGAATAGCCTCAAATCTGTGTTGTCTTTGCTGTTTCAAGTAACTTCACACCGATCAGCTTCACCAGAGCCCATCTGCTGTAGGGCCATGAATAGTCCTAGGTTACGTTTGAACAATCAATCTTTCTCTTGCTTCCTATCATCGAGTCCTCTCCGGCTCTATATATCAAATTTTAAAGTCTCCTTGACGGCGTATGGGTCGCTATCCTTTGGCAAAGGATCCATTAAGGGATAAAGTCGCGCTCAATCACTGTATCCAGGGGTGGCAATTCAAGGCAACAATAAACGATAATATTTTCCGAACACTATAAACGCTCTCTGGAGTTGGTCGCATCAGAGTGAAGCATCTCCGCGAGACGATCAAGACCATCTAGATAAGTACCTAGGTAGGTAACGATTTCCATGGCTCTAAGCGTTATGTCCTACTTGGGCTCGTTCTCTACTCTTTGGAAATAGTTAACATATCTTTGACCACGAGCTCAGAGAAAACCCCCAAACCCAGGAGCGATTCCGTACCAGTCCATCATATCCGTATACCGTACAACTACCTCTCTCTTATACTCTATATTGGGGGCAAATATCCTCAAGGGTCTAAATGAATATAACAGCCAGCATTTGCCGGTAGTATCGTATCTGCGAGACTCTGGGTGCTATATGAGACTTATCATCAGGCTCTATTTATCATCGATTATTTGGATCTTCTGTGAACTTATATCATGCTACATCCCAAAACCTCTAAAATCTCAAGTTCGTATTATGGCTCTCAAAGTACCACTCGTTATAGCTAGGCCATCTAGTTTGCAATTTAGGGACGACTCTTCTTAGCTGGGGCAAAACGCCATCGTTCCCTTTTCCAGATGCTTAGCAGACAACTGTGTCTACTCCAAAACTCTAGAATCCGTGCTGTGGTATGGTAAATCAACTGGTCCACCACTAGCCACCTGCCAACTGCTATGGAAGGGGTATCAAGAATACTGTCACCCTAAAATGGAATAATGAAAGTCCTGATTGCTCGTGTGCAACCACGCCTCCGTGCTCTTGGTATCAAAACCGGCCTTCTCAACTTCTAGGACATCATCCCTGAAAGTGCTTTGTGGAAATATGAAACGATGTTGCACAGCCTTCTGCTTGTACCCTTCCTCCACCCATTTCTCCCAACCTCCTATCACCATTACATGTGACACGTACATATTCATAAACACATAAGCAAACAAAACAAAAGCGCAAAATCTGTTTAACAATATATGCGTTGAGATCTAGTGTGGACGGGGGGGGCAATTTCCAACACTCCCTGTGTGTTGCAGTACATCATCCGTTCAAACTATTAATATATAAGTCAACTATTGAAAAAACCAGAAAGGGAAGCAGCATGCTGCCCAGTTTCCATCTACGGTAACCGCAATCAAGGAAGAGTAATAGAACAGCTTTTTACTAGATACTAAAAGTTTGCCATGAAACCCACTTTATATTGAAGGACAGCATAGCAATGAATGAAGGATGTGGTGAAGGATGAGAAATGCCGTTGTGCCATGGAAGGCTCAATGAAATCGAAAAAGAGGATAAACGCAGAACATGCTCAATTAGTCAAGGCCATTAGGTTACGACCTGCCTCGCTACAGCCAAGGGAAAGATGAAGTGGCCTACCGTCTTCATTGCCGGTTTATCTTGGGGATTCAAATTAGTGAGTATTGGATATTTCCACGTCGAATGATGTGGACGCTCCAGTTTCGTTAAGATGTTACTATATCTTTACCTACTGCTCTTAACGTAGTATAAATACTGCCCATAATAAGCCTGCTATATGAATTCAACATAGCCTGCATTGTACGATCTATTGGTATCGGATGGCCTTTAACGCCGTAACAAAGTCTATTTTTAAACTCCTTCCATATCTGTTCTTTCCTCCCATATTTTGCGCGAGCAAATCATAAATTCTATAGAAAACACACCGGAACACCACAAGACGGGGTAATAATCAGTACGGAATCCATCCATAGCGCCAGAGGGAAGGTTCTGGCCTTCCGCTGCCCAAAGTGATAGAAACAAATAGAGCTAGGTAGGCAGGGCCCAGTCTAGCCATGCCAAACAGGAGAGGACTTTCCGCTAACCAAATTTGGCAAAGCAGCGGAAAGGCAAAGAACAACAAAAGTTTACAGTACAAGGATGTTTGGAGGTTCAAAATAGAAAACCAGAAAAAGGCAAGTGGGTGACAAATCCTGCCAAACAGGTCAGACCACGTTGGGCGATCTGGTAAGTGCTAGCCAGGTGTCCTGTATGGTACGAAAAGTGGCGAGGATGGCCAGCGGATATGACATGTGACATCTGCCATGCGTTGTGTGTTGCCGGCTGAAGATGAGTCGAATCTGCCATAAACGAGGCAGTCGCTATAATCGTTGCATTGTGTCAGGCCAGGAGTAGGAAGAGGAGGTAGTTGGGGCCAGGATGTGGCTATCGTTCGTTTTATAGCTGAACTGTTGTTTCATTTACGGGTCGATTCCACATTCCGAGCGGATATTCTGGGCGCGATGACAGCGATAAATCGCCTATTGTTGTGAGGGTGGCACAGCTGAAAGTTTGTGGTCGAGCCCTGTTTGGAAAGGTGATCGCCCTTGCATCGCATCCTGCACCCATCTGCAGCCCAGCCCGCGGCCCTGAACTGACAGCTTCTCCTGCATGATGCATTCTCGCACGTACACGAAACGCTGCATAACAGGTATCAACATGAGAGATGGCTTTTGGTGGTGTGGCACTAGTGGCTTACTTGAAAAGCCACCAGCGAGCGAGGGTTTCTTTTCCTCCTTTGCGTTCTTTTGCGGTGGAGGGTTACAATTTTTGACTGGAGCAGCGACATGAAATTGAGCAATACGAGACGGGACGGAAGACAAACGGCGATGTGCGAAGGATGTGAGAGATAGGGACATCGATGGCGCTGCATGGAAAGGTTAGTTCCTGTTCCAGCTCTGAGGTGTTGAATCGGTTGAATCGAAAAAGAAGAAAGCATATAAAGTCACGAAATGTGATACATAGATCGAGGAGCACATCTCTCCATCCGGCGGTGAGGGAAGTGATTGCAGAAGAGCCAGGGGGAGGGAACTTACCGACGGGACAGACAAACGAATAAAAAGTGATACGTTTGTTAGATTTTGTTAACACACGGCCGGCACGTCTTGAGTTTGCAGTATTTGCACTCGTAGATGTACCAATGTGGTCCAGAGTGGCACATGGAGCAGACCCATTGGATCAATGTAGATTCTGACTTCAGCAGTATGAAGGAATGGCTGCAATAACCAGGAACAGCCATGGTGGTCGAGATGGAAGCCACGTTTGCTGAGATTCACGGTGGAATTGTCGTCAACTGTTAATGAGGTAGGCGAGGCAAATAAACAAGTTGTCAGGGGAAGTCTATGAATAGTCAGCAAGGTGCAGTTGTATGAATACAACATATGAGGGAGCAATGTTGTGGGAGGGCAAGGACAGAGAAAGATGACGTAGATCGGCAACAGGAGTGAGAGTAAGAACAAGAATAAGAGGAAACGGGAACCACAACTAACTCGAGCAGTAGGGTGCTTTGGACATGCAAAGTAGGCCAGCGACTTTGAATCTTATTCGATATAGAGGGATGACAATCTAAACGCAGTGGGGTATGGCGAGGTCGGGACGCTTAAAGGCAGAAGCTCATGATTATATATACTCGCAGAGTGAATATATCGAAGTTTCCAGAAATGGTTCCAACGTCCTGTTAGTGGTACAGAAATGATCAAGAGGCGTTTGTTTTCGTTGGGCGACTCCGAGCGCAGAAGGTGTGCTCTTTATATCTCAAGTTTTATGTTCGACCTTTGGCACTCAGGCCCACGCCTGGTTCCTGCTCGATCCCGGAGCCGGGAGCCCGTATGCGAACGCAGCAGCGCTGTAAATGGGAAATAATGCCGTCGGAGGGTAGGATCTGGTGCGTGGAGGTATAGCAAACTAGGCCAGCACAAGAGCACCCTCACAAGCAACCGACATGGACGGAGGTATAGCTCATGAGCATAGCGGAGGGAGGGTGGTGACATGATTGCCCGGATGTGGTGACGACGGAGAGATACCGGCAAGGTCCATGGTCCGCATGGATGGCAGAGGCTGGATCTTAACTGGGCCTTAACTGGGTCTTCACTGGATCTTGACTGGTGCTTCGTGGACATGATTGCAGGGAGGGCTAGAGCAATGGAAACAGCCTGGGGCGGATGGGGAGGCCTACGGAAGGGGGCGCTTGATAGGATAGGGATAGGGATACTCGTAGGGGTAGGGATAGCATAGCTGGCGCCATAATATATATATATAAATACATGATCGTCGATGGCTGCAAGGCGGGTGGCGTCTCCTAGCGACTGCGGTGGTGGTGGAGGTGGTTCAAATAAGCCATGGAGAATAGCCCGAAGAGATATTATGTTAAGGTTACCATGGGCCAGCTAGGTGTGGTAAGGTTACGAGGTATAGCCATTCAACGCATGGCGGACACGACCCTGAATGGGCGGGCAAGGCATAGAGGGTTTGGTAGGGCGGTCATGGCGATCTTGAAGTTGAACCTGCAAGCAAGCAGCTCTGCTCTGGGTGGCAGTGGTGGTGGTTGAGGACGACACCTATAACTGCTTCGTAGCTAAGGCGGCATTGGTGGCCGTTTGTGGTGTTGCTGTTGTGGTTGGTGGTGCAAGGCCGTGGTGTTACACTCGACATCATTCATGTTGCATACCTTCTGTTGCTCGCACATACGAAGCACAACTCTAACCGCCGTTACCTCCATACAAACACTCGTATGTGTTGCAAACACTACCCTAATGCGCCACGGCAGGAATACTCCGCTGTTGGCCTACACTGCTCGCGCGGATGCCATACTGGAGAGTGGGTGGGGGGGGG